GCATGTTTACAGGGTGGCTCGAATTCGACGCTCATCATTGGTATCTCGGTAACCGTAATAGATACGAACATGGTTAAATTGGGGTAAAGTTGCGCTTTGGGATGTTCACCAAGATGCCATCAAAAAACTGAAAAAATTTCAGGGATTGCTGAGTTTTTTGGAAAAAACTGATTTATTTGAATATCTATTTATTTTTTTCCTGTCGTTACTTTTTAGAAAATCAAAAAACTAATTATAGATTCTCATAGCCACTTTATTAGGGCTATCTGATAGTATTTTTAGATTTTCAAATTAGCTGATAATTTGTGAGATACAGAGACCAACTTATTCTTTTTAAATGCGGACCTGCATTTTTTATTTCAGATTTTGAAAGAACTCGGTCTTCTGAGTACAATGATATGCCACACTTAATATTTTTTTTTGTTTTGACATTTGAACACAATTTATTTAAACTAATTTCAAGTTCGGTCCTGTTTTTTTTAATATTTATTCTATTCATCGTTACAATATTGAGAGTTTCTGGACCTATCGCCAAGTAGCTACATTACTTGACGTCATTTCTAAAAGTGAAATCAATTCATCTCAACATTTACAATAAAGACTACAAAATGCATTCAGAAGTATAAGAAGAAAGTTCAAAGCGCTATAAATAAAATTGAACCAAAAATAAATTTGTTCAATAGGGAGGGTGGTAACCCTTTCGAACATGCAGAACATTAGAAACTAGTGTGTAGAAGTTGATTTATTTATAATAACAACGATTAATATTATGCCTATTATTAGATCGTACACTGAGATTTCAAATTCACAATAAAAAAGTTAGAAATAGTATCTTTAAATTTCTGACCTGGATATTATTAATTTGAATCTTCCAATTGGCTCGATTTTCCATATTCAATGTTAATTAGTGCTGATCAATATTGTTGCGATGAATATAATCAGATTAAATAATTTAAGAAACCAGAGTCGGACTTGAAATTATTGTAAATAATTTCAAGCCAAAACAAAGAAAAGTATAAAGTGTGGCACATCATTGTACTCATACCCAAAACAAAAAAAAGTATAAAGTGTGGCATATCATTGTACTCAGGAGACCGAGTTCTTTCAAAATCTGAAATAAAAAATGCAGGTCCGTATTTAAAAAAATTAAGTTGGCTTCTGTATCTTACAAATTATCAATTAATTTAAAAATCTAAAATACTATCAGATAGCTCTAATAAAGTGGCTATGAGAATATGCAATTAGTTTTTTGATTTTCTAAAAACTAACGACAGGAAAAAATAAAATTGACTTTCAAAAAAGTCCGTTTTTTCTAAAAAACTCTGCAATCCTTAAAATTTTTAAAACTTTCTTGATTTCATCTTGGTGAACATCTCAATACGCAACTTTGCCATAATTTAACCATGTTCGTATCTATTACGGTTACCGAGATACCAATGCTCGTACCTCGAATTTGTAACACCCTGTATATAGTCACTTTGATATTTGCCGACGTTTCGCACAGAAAATTCCATCACCGAATATTTTATGCAAAAAAAAATAAAAAATAAAAATGCAATACGGCGTTTTATTGAGCATCAAATTGTGCAAATTTGCCACCATTTAACCGATCCTGTATCTCTTACGGTTTCCGAAATCTCAATGATGAGCGTCGAATTCGAGCCACCCTGTATAACAATAGACTGAAGAACAAACGAATATGACCAACAGGTACTGAATTTGCTGTGATTCAAAGACGTTTATCAGTATTTAATTATGTAATAATTAATCTATTTAACAGCTTTAGAAAAAGGCTTAGAATGTAAAAGTAAGCTATATTCTAAATTAATTAAATACTAAATAAATCTTTGCAAAGAATTCTTTTTGGGGCACTCTGTATATTAACTTGATCAGTAGGCAAGTGGTATGTTCAATATTTTCTCAAGCTAAAACAGCACAGCAAAGTGAAAATGAACAAATATTTACTGAGCTTCTTGTATTTTTTCTCAGATATGTTGATTTAAAAACCACTACCATTTCTTAGAACAATCCTTCAAGCAAATTTCTGTTATTTTGTGTGTTTTTTTTGTATTTATTTTAGAACAATAATTCAAAAACACCTTTTCTATTTTCGAGACCGTTATGTGTTATCTGTATACACTGCAACATCTGCTGTTAGAACAAGTAATTATTTAACCTAAAATATCTTTATTTACTGTCTAGCTTCGGAGAAAGTTTAAACATTATTGTCTTGGACATTTAATTAGTTATATTAGAATAATGCCGGTAGAAGATGTCAATATAAATTTCAATAATATCCTCAAAAGATCTTGTTTCACACTCAGCCAAATTACTAGTCTGAGGTTTTACAGCCCCCAAAAATCCCCGACCAATAATTTTTAGCATTTGGAATACACATAAGCCTTACATAACCAAGCTTATATGGAATTACTCTTTATTTCTGACTAAATTTCTTGCAAGGATAAAAATTGGTATAGAACTTTAAGTTAAGACTTTTTGTTGTAAATAAACATGATAATAAACGACTGCTGCGATTTATTTTCTTTTGAATTTTTTGTTCAGTAGTAAAATCACGATTGTCCGGTAGTTTTCATTCGATCCAAAAAAATGCCTTATGTTGGATTAACAGATGTACAGAGTATAGAGGGGGAGAATTATTGCTCTCAGTCAACTCTGGAATGCTCCAAAGAAACGTATATAACAAAGATAGTAGGCGTTACCCAGGGTGTTGTATCGAAAACATATGCAAGATACTTAGAATTAGGAACACACAAGGATAGGCCCAGACAAAGTCGTCAAAGAGTTACAACTGAACAACAAGACCGCCTTGTGTGCCAAATTGCTAGAATAAATCCCAATGTTTCTCATCCAGAGCTACAAAGACAACTTGCGGCAGCTACAATGTGAACGTTTCAGTTGAAACCATAAGAAAAAGGCTTTGTGCTCGAGGGTTTTACAGTAGGAGAGAGTTACGGATCCCATCACAGTTATCTCGGCAAAATAAAATTGACCGGCTAAATTGATGCCTTCAACATGAAAACTGGACAAATGAGAATTGGCAAAATGTTCTTTTTTCGGATGAGACCAGAATTGGCCTAAGATCAGATAACCATCAAATTCGGGTTCTCAGAGCTCCAGGAAGACGAGCGAGACTTCAGGCTTCCAAATCTGTATCAAGATATAAAGGAGGAACTATATAATGTTCTTGGGAGGTATTATACTGGGAGCAAAAACTCCATTGTTACCACTTCAACAAACTTTAACGGGTCGGAGATATGTTGATTTGGTGCTAGAACCAATCGTTAGTTTTTAGAGAGCAGCAATTGGAGATAATTTTAACTTCTTGTACGATAGTGCACCTCCCTATACCAGCAGAGTGCCTAGAGAATGTCTTAAAACGGAAGGTGTCATAGTTTTGGACTGGCCTTGCATGTTCACCAGATCTAAACCCTATCGAACACTTGTGGGACTAGCTCAAAAGAAGGGTTAGAGCTCGTCGAAACAATCCAGGAAATCTTGCACAGCTTATTGATGCAGCATTAGCAGAATGGGAAAACATACCCCAAAAAAAACAACGTTAATAATTTAATAAGAAGCATGCTTGCATAAGGGCTAGAGGTGGCAACAGGGACAGGGTTTACAGGGAATATTAAAATTATCAATTTTCTTTTTGTTTTTGCTTTTTGACTATTAAAAATTTAAATCTTAATTTCGTTTCAGAAACCAACAAAATACCATTTTGTTTATTTTGGGAGCTCATTATTTTTTTTATTGCTATATGGATTACTTTTTATTAAAAGTCATTGGTAAGGACTGAGTTTTATTCATAAACACAAAATTTTCATACATCTCAAAAATTATGAAAAATAATAGATGATTCCATATAAGTTTGGTTGTGTGTATTTAAATGACATAAAATTATGTTTCTTCAAAATTCCCCAAGCAGTGGTACGATGTTTTTCTACTATTTTTCTAAGCATTCATTTTTCGATCATGTTTGAAATGAACGAACGAACAAATACTTTTGTGTTTAAATGGTTGTAACTAAGAAAAAAAAACTAAAAGTTTTGAACAATGTTTCATTTTTACACCGCTTGACCCTAATTACATACTAAAAATTGAAAGAGTCGTAAACTGAAAATTAAGCTTTGTTTAGACTTGAACGACCGATGTGACAACAAACCTTGGACACTTTGGAATTTTCAAAATCCTTCAACGAATATCCCAAATCCAATATAAATATAAACTAACACAAATAGCGTTAAAAATCATTATAATCTACCAAGCGGGACACGCTATTCAATTGGCGGTTAGTTTATTATTTTTCGAGATTTGCATAAAAAGTATACCTAGTTATATTTGCCGCCGGAAAAAGAAAGATCAGATATAAAAAAAAACAATTACCTACATTAGTATGGAATATTACGACAGATTAAACGAGTTGTTTCATAATGGATCACATAATCTCGCCTTTTATTCTGTTGACTCTGTGTAAGGTGGATTAAGATAAGTTAGATTACTATCAAAACTCAGAAGTGCAAATACAAATATTTACTTTATCCCATCTCGAAGGATATTCAAAATAAGGGCCGAGGGTCAATAAAAAAAGGTAAACATGTGCATTACAGGTGCACAGTACTCAAGATGATAAAATGTATGATTTTATAACAAGAAATTATTGTAGAAAAAATTCAATACCGGTCATAAATGCAACTTATGTAAACACAAGGCCAGCACATACGTTTTTCCATTTTGACCTGTTTTCACACACTTGTTTTCCAATTAGTTCACTGACAAACGTTCGAACTTTGAAACAAACCGTTTGTTATCGATAAAAATAATTGCTGTTTCATTAACGAACTACCAACACGGGTTTTTACTTCACGGGAAACTGGTAAAAGTTAACACCAAACCAACCCATCAGCTACGTGTAATATAGGCGGATTTATAACAAATTTTTCCTGCTTTTCCCATCCAACAAATAATAACAGAGGACTCACCTAGAATGAAATGAGAGGCATCCGTTTTAATCGATCCTGCACATTGTTTCAATTAAACTGTATACACACGAAAATCGGCTTGTGACACTACACTTTTTATTGCAGGTCAGTCACGTCGGTTCACCGCACCAGTCACACAAAAATCAAGTGCTGTTACCTCTAATTACCTGCGCGTTTTGGACGACGGCAGCGACGTCGACGGGCAGGTACAAATCAGCCGGTGACTTAGGGTTTGTTTGGTTGCCTAACAAGACGAAATTTACATAACAAATTATTAAACCAAAATAGTTTCAAAATTAGGTATACCCAAAATTATTAATATAGCTGTGTATCCGTCAGTCAGTTTTATAATATAACTATAAAAAGGAAATTAAAATAACTGCCGTTGCCCATCATAATACGACCACCAGCAAACTCCGTAAGACGAGGCATGTTGTTCATGTTGTCATTGACGACGTGCAACGATATGGTGCAACCTTTGGGTGCAACGGAAATTGTTCCAATTTCCCTATAAAAATATTTATAATAAAGCGGGCTGTAACATTAAACAATAATCTATTTTCTATAGATAATAGTGATAATAGAGATAAGTCATTTCTCATAAAAATTATTTATCTGACTGTAATCTTCCATCATCTACCATTATAGTTGTTCTACCATCACTTTTGATTTTTGATCATAAAACAAAAAAAAAATGAATTTTTGATTCAATAAACTAATAAATTATAAAAGCACATTTTTATTCGACATTCAAAAACTCACTTTGTTATAATAATTATGTTATAAACAGTATTTTACAGCCAGAGATATAGACATCTCTATATCTCTGGTTATAAGAGGTACATGCAAATACGTTTAAATTTACGTATTTAAAATTACGTACTATTTGGGTACATGCTGGTCAAAGATTCTATCATGCTGGTAAAGTTGAAAAACTGTTAAAATTTGGTGATTTTTTATTAAATGTGACAGCATTTTAGGCAGATATTTGGAGATTTTCGATTTTTTGGCCTGGCGACAATGAAATTATTGGAAGTCAAATTCCATAACGCAGTTGCCAGGTCTAGACAAATTTCCTTTGATCTAGAGAAAATCAATATGAAGAAAACCAAAGATGCGGAAAGAAATTTAAAGAGTTGTATTTTAGAAGAAATATTTTCACACAAATTATAGTGATAATTTCACTTACAAAAAGATCTAACTAACGAACGCAAACTTATGTCTTTGACTATGGATATTATTCAAGAATTTCAAGATATTAAGGTTAATTGTTAATTTATGAGACGGTAAAATCACGGCACATAAAACAATGATGTGTGGTAAAATTAGAGGAAAATTTCAAGCAATAATTAGGGAATCGCCAAAATATCATCCGACGTGCATCCGACAACCCTGTTCCATTAATGCATTTTTAGTCTTGTCATTTGTCATTTGTCATGGTCTTGTCCACGGGTCTTGTCCTTGTCTAATAATTAATTACCACAATAATCCTTCAAAACAAATGAAAATTTCAAAACAAAAAAAATCAAATTCTACTTATACCCACTACGGATCATAAACCCATAAGCGCCATCCGTTTTGGTGATAAAAAAGCAAATATTTAATACTTTACTATCAGAATATAAATGAAAAAAAAAAAAAGTTGCACCCCAGCCGGTATCGAACCACTGACCTTCGCGTCATAGGCGAAAGCTCTACGCGCCGAGCTAATGGAGACTTGCTCGATTTTTATTCAATACTAGAATTTAAAGCGCAAAGTAAAAAATAGAGGATCTTCTTTGGATGCGCAGTAGTAAACGCAACGGGTATCGGCAGCCAGATGGGCCGCATGCTGTTCCAGAGAGCATAATAAAAGATATATCAAAGAACCAGACGTCTTAAAATTAACTTGTTTTCCCGACGTTGCTAGCTCTCGTACTACAATAGTCTATAGTTAAACAGATAATTTCATTAGTCTTTTTAACCTCACTTATTTTGAAAACGTCAGCAATGTTTGTATTTTTCTTAGACAAGGAAAGAGAGGGGATCGGTAACACGCATATTCTTCCGTGATCGGATAGTGAGGCCAAAATTCGATCGGCGGCCATACTTTGGTGACAAGATTTCGAGGTGACACCGAGCGAATTTTTATGTTTTTTGTGACAACTCTTTTGTTTTAAATTTATAAACTGTGTTGTTTAGTATGGTGAGATGCATAGATAAAAGACTTATACCACAGATAACACATAATCCAGATGGCTCCTTACGTGTTAAAAATTGTCACCCCAATTTCACTCCAATTTGGAAAAATATTGGAGTGACGTTTGAATAATCTGAAATTTTTAGATTCCTTTTCTAACTTTTTTGGGAGGTTTTGCTTCTCTTGCACAGATGTCGCTTGCACTTCAGTTGCGTGGTTGCCAAACGTTATATCGAAATATATTTCATTTCATTATGAATATATAAAATTAAAAATTATGTAATTTATAAACATGAAATAGATATGGATGTTAGGTAATACCGGATGTTAAATTAATATATAAATATTTAACTTAATACGTACATTATTATTTTATTAATTTATCGTCACACGTCATTTACCAGTTGCCTAATTACGAAAAGTTTCATATGATATTAACCTCAAAAATGATCTTTGAAAACAAACAACAACAAATAACTCAAAGAAATAACTACATACTACATAATAATAACTGATAATAATGACTTTTAATGGTATAAAGGCTGATGAAGGTAATTATAAACATTATTTTGAGTTTGTTTAATAAAATATAGGATACAATATAACTAAGCAAAATCAAACAGTTTTAGACAACCAATACAAGATTCAGAACTCGGCATCGCGATAAACAAGTAAAATTGTACATTCAGGAACTCGTTTAAATATTATAGGTAAGTAATATTTTCACAAAAGTAAACATAAAGTAATATAGAATATTACCTGTGATAAAATGTTAATTAGTGACGTATATTTATTCTAATCACATTTAAATTTAAACTCAAAATTTTCATAAAGAAAATGATAATTTTTCATAGATATAAAGTAAATAATATTACATATTTCAGGTTGATTGAAGAATAATTTACAATTGATTAGAGCCTATGACGATGCGAAGATAATTAATCACCTAACTTTAAGAAACCAGCCTAAAGAAGTTTACATGCATCTCATCTAACCATTATAGGTAATAATTTACAAAATTAGTCATTTTTGATTATAATATTATGGTACTTAGGTACATTTTATTTTCTAGATCAGTAGTGATTTTTCATAATTTGAATGAACTCACAGATAGCAATGGGGCACCGCACCGAAGCAGTATTACAAAATGTGAAATAAAACTGTAGTACATGTTGCTCTATAAAATTTAATAGAAATAAATTTATTTATGAAAATTAATGAAGTTTTATCTTTCCTAGGAAAAAAATAACAATTATATTTTGAACAATTAATTTAGAACATTACAGTTAAAAAAATATATGTGTTAGAAATTGTAACACATATTTTTTTAACTCTATGTTATTCTAACTTAGAATAACATATTTTTAATAAAATTGCGCTTATACTTTATACTTTTTTGCTATTATATCAATAAGAACTAACGTAAGGAGCAATTCATTTATACTATAAACACACATGCATATTTTTTGATCTTTTAAAACCAGTGAATAATGTTGAAATATGCTACACCTATTAATTCTTATTAACTAACTTTATAGCTAGACAGTTGAAAATTTTACAGATAATTAATGTATCTATGTTGCCGCTATAAGAACAAATACTAAAAACAGAATTAAATAAATGTTTATAAATAAAAAAGTACTTTCACTAAACATTATCGTTTAAGTAAGAATTTTACAAAGAATATTCAAGTCCTCGAGTGGCCGTGTGGTTAAAGGCGTTAGGATTTGAAGGCGGTGAGACGTAGTGAGGCAGGTTCGAATCGTAGGCAAGGTGACTGTTTCTTAATCTTTTTTTTTATTTTTACATATTTATTTTTACTTATTTATTATTGATTAATACAATTTTTAGCAATGTGTTTCTTCATTTTTTTTAAATTACTTACAAGCGCATTCAAAATTTCAGCTAAATCGGAAAAAAAGTTTACAATAATATAATGTCTGATGTTGTATAGATAATGTGTAATGGTACATTCAATGATAATGAACCCTTCGTGCGCAGAGTCCGACCTCGCACTTGGCCAATTTTTTTTGTTAATTGAAACGTTTAGAATTTGAATATTCGTTCAAAAATTTTTTTTAATAAATTTATTTATGATAAACAATTTATTAATGAAAATAATATGACCGAATTTCCTGGAAAGTTTTTCAAATTTGTACATATGAAAACCTAGCTTTACCACTTATCATAGAAAATCTCTATTCCTTCCCTTATCACGGAATAATAAAGGAACGAACCATATGCGACAAAAGATAGAAGATTTAGATATGTCGTTACTGTCTTTTTGTTTTTAACGGATATTTTAAAAAGGCGGGTAATTTACCTTTGACTGTCTTTGATTATAACTGTGTGTGATTAGTGATAATAAAATTATTATTAAAATGTCTGGTAATAAGTGCCAATTTTATAATTGTGGGATTTCTCGGAAATCAGGTGTACATATGTTTAAGTTTCCTGCGTCAAGAGATCCTAATTTATGTACAAAGTGGATAGAAAATTGTGGTGAGTTCATTCATATAGAATTTTTTGCACATTTTGTATGTAAAAATACGGCGTTAAGTTACCTTAGAAATGGTGATCGATGGCTTTTACCATATACCGTATGATCGAAAAAAAAACGGCGTCAGCGATGGCTATGAAATGAAGATCGCTGTCATTTGATATGTAAAATTATATGGGGAATGTCATCGACCATCATTTCCAAGCCAATCGGACGCCTTTTTTTTGGATCATACGGTATAATTTAACACATTAAGAATTGTCCATCGTTATTTCTTTATCTATGCAAAGTTTATGATGGATAAATCAAGTAATTAAGTGGATATAAATTATAAATGAATCAGTGAACATAAACTGTTATAAATTATAAGTAATGCAATTATTGAATATACCATACGATCGAAAAAAAACGGCGTGGGAGTGGGCTTGAAATGAAGCATATATAGATTAATTGAAAGCATTTTATAAAAATATATAGTTATACAGGGTGTCCCCCAAAAGTTATACATTAAAGTTGTTTTTTGTAATGGAATACCCTATATATTAATTGATTTTTGATTCCAGGAAAAAAATAAAGGTGTGTTTTATTAAAGAAGCATGTGCCTAGAATGTAAGGATTTTGACATATTTCACATTTTGTGAAAATGAAGAATAAAATTTAAATTTCAATAACAGCTATCTATATTGTAATTTATCCTGTATAGCCTGATATTTAGTTACAATAACCATAATATGTTAAACCAAATTAAAATGTGACAGGAAAAAGTTATACAGGGTGGGACAAAACTTATATTGAACATTTATCACTTTGAAAAGCAAGTTACTCCTTTATTTTAAATGGAACACCCAGTATATTATTTCCGTGTTCAATGGGGAATTCATATATCTTCAAAATATTATTAAGGTTGCCTACCCCTCTAACAAAGATTTTCCTAGATACTTTCATTTTTATGATTTTGCGTCAGTAGATCTTTATTATTTGAAAAAAAATCTAGGTGGCTGTGTTAATTTATCAAAAATTAAAGGATGTAGTATAAAATACTGTAATAAAACATACGTTTAAAACATATATTAATTATCACAGAATTAAAATTAGATATAAATGTATAATTATATAACAAAAAATTTGAATCTAAAAGTAGAATCATATCAATTCTTTCTGATGTAGGATAAGTTTCTATTTTCGGAAAATTTCTTATTTTTTTTTGTTTCAACTGACGAACTGACACAAAATAATAACTAGTTGCTAAAGTTGAACTAATTTGACAGCTATGTTGAAGTAACGTCAGACATATCACAGCCACCCTAGATTTTATCAAATAATAAAGATCTATTCACACTAAATCATAGAAATGAAAATATCTAGGAAAATCTTTGTTTGAGGGGTAGGCCGGCAACCTTAATAGTATTTGGAAGTGACATGAATTTCCCATTGAATATCGGAATAATATTCTGGGTGATTCAATTAAACTAAAGGAGTTATACAGGGTGGGTATTAAAGGAGTTATACAGGTTATACCAATGTTCAGCATTAATTTTGCCCCACCCTGTATAACTTTATGGGTCAGGTTTTAATTTGATTTAAAGTGCAATAGAGTAAATTCCAATTTAGGTAGTTTTTCTTGAAATTTAAAAATTGTTCTTCAAAATCTTAAGTAAGTCTAAAACCTTACATTTCAGTCATATACTTCCCTAATAAAACACACCTTTATTTTTCTCTTAGAATCTAAAAATTAATTAATAAAGGGGGTATTCCCTTACAAAAAAATACAAATTTGATGTGTAACTTTTTTTGGGGACACCCTGTAGAACTCTCTATATTTTTAAAACGTACGCAGAATTAACTTACATATGATCACAAAATTTCATTTCAATACGAATTGGTCGTTCTCCTTGGAGCCTCCGAGTCATATGAGAGGCGCCACCCTGTATAATTTTTATATAGTTGCACTTTAATAAATTGTTAGTTAAAACTAACAGTCCTACGAGTGTGGAATTTTGTACAGGTGGATTTTGGACATTCATCTCTTAAGAGAGTGAAATAAGGGATGAAAATTTGTACAAACATTTGTTAAAATCGGGTTTAGAAGTATGAAATTCTGTTTGTTCCTTATGTAACGTAATTTAGTAATAACAAGCAATTTTTTTTCAGAACGTCCACACCTCATTTCACCCCGTTAGAGGGCGAATTTCCAAAAATTGTTCCTGAGTGCTAAATTACGTTACATAAGGAACGTCTGCGCAAAATTTCATACTTCCAAAACCGATTTTAATGAATTTTTGTACAATTTTCATCCCTTAATTCTTATGGGGCGAATGCCTAAAATTCGCTTCTGAGTACTCACTTTCATCACTTGAGGAACCTCTGTGCAAATTTTCATACTTCTAGGACAGATTTTTTTCAGAAAGTTCACCCCTCATTTCACCCCCTTAGAGGGAAAATTTCGAAAAATTGCTTCTTAGTGCTAAATTACCTTATATAAGGAACGTCTGCGAACAATTTTATACTTCTAAAACCGATTTTAACAAATTTTTGTACATATTTTCATCCCTTATTTCTTAAGGGATGAATGCCCAAAATTCGCTTCTGAGTATAACTTTCATCACTTGATGAACCTCTGTGCAAATTTTCATACTTCTAGGACAGATTTTTTTTCAGAACGTTCACCCTTCATTTCACCCCCTTAGAGGGAAAATTTCCTAAAATTGCCTCTTAGTGCTAAATTAAGTTACATAAGGAACGTCTACGCAGAATTTCATACTTCTAAAACCGATTTTGACAAATTTTTATACCAATTTTCATCCCTTATTTCTTAGGGGATGAATGTCCAAAATTCGTTTCTGAGTACTCACTTTCGTCGCTTAATTAACAATTTCCAAATTTCAAACTCCTCGGACTAATTTTAAAAAAATATGCAAAATTTCACCCCCAGTTTCACCCCTTAGTAGAAGAATTTCCTAAAATCGCTTTGTATAATCGAACTGTTAAGTTACGCTACTTAAGGCACCTCTGTGCAAAATTTCGTAGTCCTAGGACATGCTTTTTTTGTATACAAAAGTACCCCCCATATCACCCCCTTAACGAGCGAATTTCCAAAAATTGCCCCTTAGTGTTCAATTACGTCAGTCAAGGAGCACTTGTGAAAAATTTCATACTCTTAAACCAGATTTTAACAAATTTTTATGCAGCTTTTCATCCCTAATTTCACCCCCTTAGTGGTCGAATTTTCAAAAAATCCCTTCTTAGTGCTCATTTACATCACTTAAGGAACCTATGTGCCAAATTTTATTTATTACTATATAGATAACCTTTACCCTTATTTTCAGCTAATGAATATTAAGAGACAAATAATAAAAATAAAATCTAAATTATAAATTTCATGGCTATAAATAGCATATATATTCATCTAGAAATTCTGACTTTCAAACATCCACTGCGACTAGTATTTTCATATCCAATTGTATAGTATTAAAGTCCGAATATACATTTTCCCTGGGTTTGACCGGGAATTTGCTTATAAATATGAACAACCGGCTACGTCGCTTCACATCGCGTGGCCGTGGTGTGGCTCGAAATTCGTTCGTTTTAAAAATATTATTAGATTTGGCTATAGGCGCCCTCTGTGTCATTAATAGGGAACTGTCTCATCGAAAACATGCTGTTCCGTAAGCAATGGCCATCTGGATTATGTGTTATCTGTGCTTATACTATTAAATAGATAGGCAACTTATAATACATTTCAATTTTATTATACAAGGGCGCCTCTAGTAGACGGAGGAAGAAATACTAATAGAAGAGAGGGGTGCGGAGAAGGGGGGCTGTTTTAGTTAATTTAAAATAAATTTAGACATACATGTAAGAACACTTTGTGTGCTTTTAATTAGGTTGAACATATTATACACGATAAATCAACTGAATTAAAAGCATACAAAGTGTTCTTATATGTCGGATATTAATTAAAAAATATATTAAAAATACTAGAAATAGTATATATTAAGTTGTTACAGTTATAATTTAATCTTTGGTGGTTTTCAGCAAATAGCAGGCAGTTTTACATAATTTTCCTCCCTTTGAAGTGAATTGGAAACGGCTAGGTATATAATTTTGGTGTAGGCAAGATTCCCAGTTTGTTTCCGTTTGGGACCTGAAATAATCAAAACAAATTAAATCAGATGTAATTATCTGCTGATCATAAAAAAAAACGCGCGTCCTTAATTCCTTACATGCACCGTAAAAAAATTAAATAACTGCTCTGCAAGTAGCATTTATTAGCAGTACTAATTTAAAAAATCTATAACTGTAAGTAGATATGTTTAATTTACTTACCATTGTATCCTTCGGAAACCAGGTGTACAACAATTAAACTCCATGATAAAAAATAATTAAGAGTTATTACAAAACACAAATTGTCCCACCATTTTTAAAAAACATTGTCTAAAACAGAATACTGGCAAAAAATCTGAAGGAATTTAATTTTACAATAATTCGACAAATCAAACCGTAAAATCACAACAAAAGCGTCTCTGAGTGACACTTAAAAATCAAATTTTATTATTGTCAGATATTGACATTTGCATTGTTAATATTGACAGTTTTAATATTTTGCGCCTCTGCATCTTGGAGGAAAAACTATTTTTAATGAACTGTTATTTCCATTTAAGTTTCTCAGCCATGGTGAGATGTTCAGAGTGTGGCTGCAAAGGTCGAAGCGAGAAAAAAGTGGCTGGAATTACATTTCACAGGTATTATTTTTAAGTTTTTAAATAATTGAAACAAAACATTAAATATTAGAAATTCAAATATATTATATGTAAATGTGGTTTTTTTGGTCCCGGCCAAGGCAAAATTTTCGCCGGGACAAACTTTCTGATTCCTGGTTAATCCCGGTCAAACCGGGACGGTTGGGAACCCTAATATGTATAGTTATATAAAACTTAAATTTACCTGCCAAGATTTGTTGGGGGTGGACAAACTTGTGGTGGGCTACTTGTTACTACATACATATATTTTTTTAAATATTCTTTCAAAAAATTTGCTAATTTAAGTGTATAATAATAGTTTCAGTGAGTAATTAATAAAAATTTAAAAATAAATAAAATAACACAAAGCTTCTATAATTGTTTTATTTTTTTGTGAATAAATTCGGATATTCTTAAAAATAGGATATTCTTATGATTGAAGGTAACAAATATTAAAAATTACATTATTCATTGAATCCGTACGCAAGTGTGAAGGGTAAGCTAGATTCATTATTATACCGTATGGTCGAAAAAAAAAACGACGTCCAGTTGGCTTGTAAATGACGATCGACGACATTCCCCATATAATTTTACATATAAAATGACAGCGATCTTCATTTCATAGCCATCGCTGACGCCGTCTTTTTTCGATGTCATTTTGTATAGTTTTTATGTAATTTTATATGTAGAATTATATGGGGAATGTAATCGATCGTAATTTACAAGCCAACTGGACGTCGTGTTTTTTTTCGATTAAACGGTATAATAATGAATCTAGCCAATTCTCTCCACACTTGCTTACGGATTCAATATTCAATTAATAATGTAATTTTTAATATTCAGTTGTGAAATTGTCATTTCCAAACAAACAAGACGCCGTTTTTTTCGATCATACAGTATATATGTATATACACGTTTAAAATATATGTTATTACATTATTTTTTAACTTAATTATACATTATACACACGTTAATAAATAAATAATTGTCTTGATAATCAGTCCACTGTGACTGTTAAATAAATTTTGCATTATCGACTTAGATATTCTAATATTATAAAGGTGAGACTATAAAATACAAAATTGTATATGTATTACTCAAAAATGAACGATATATTAGTTTACGTTTTAATAAATATTTTACCGTCTAGGTACAAGCTAATTTCTGATGCTACGCCATTGGAGAATTTCGAGTGGTGACAACTTGTCTCACTTTCAGCTGCCGTGTTACCTGTCCCCTCTCTTTCCTTGTCTAGGTATTTTTCATGTATTAAGTGTCTATCGGGAGACTTCCATCCGAGTTCTACGCATGCGCAGTAAGCAAATTTCTGTTGATGTTGCCAAATTGTGCATGTGTATTATTTTGAAATTAGATAATAAATAAATCCTTTTTTATAGGCCACAAAATCTCCCTTTTTAATATTATAATTTAATTTTCGGTAATTACCTAATTTTCTTTATAAAGTTTTATTTTTGTTTTACTTTTTTTATAAACTTTATTTTTTCTGCTTTGTCATTATTAAAATAGAAATTTTAAATATAATTTTATTATTACCATTACCTACCTATTAATTTAAAACAAAACAATAAAATCTGTTAAAATAAATTTATTGGTTTGAATGAGAATAAAATACAGAAATAGACACTTGTATGTAAAGATGAAAATGAAAATACTATAATTTAATAATAAATAAATAAATAAGAAATAAGCTAATATTTTTTACCATAATAATATAAGTATGTAGGTCTAAAATGATATCTGAATAAATATATTTATAATTACTTTATTAAGATATATGTATTTAATCATCAAATTCTTGTGAATTAAGTACGTATGATAAAAAACGGAGTCAGAGTTGGCTTGGAAATGATGAGCGATGAAATTCACTTACATATAAAAAAAACAGTTACCTTTTTCATGCCAACTATGAAATAAACATTATTTTGAAAAATGTTGCTCATGGAATGGAACGCACAAGATAGAATAAAAATATTAAAATTTTAATACTATATTGACCCAATGCCAAAAGAACTTTTTTTGAGAGATGTGTTTTTATTTCATGGCAACATATCTTATTATAGATTTAGACAGCTCTAATAACAGCTCTAATTCATTATCAATTGAATTAGACACAAATAAAACACTGTAGATGGTTACATTTGAAAAGAAAAGGTAATTTAATAAGATGAAACTCCCCTAAACCTAGCCTAGGACACAGTACATTCTGTTTTCAAAATTTAAATTATAGGTACATGATTTAAAAAAAAATAAACAGACAAATTCTGTCCTTAATATCCATTATTATTGGATCCATCTAATTTTGGGGCTTCCGATATACTCAACACTAGACTGATGCTTTTCTAGCCCTATTTTTTTCTACCTTTATTGCCGTGCTTCTTAATTCTTTGTCATGTCCAATTGTCCAAAATATCTACAAAATATATAATACCTATTATATTTAATTAATATATCTGTGATTTATAAATCATATTTTGTAATAAAACATCATGGCAAATATTAAGATAACTTAACATTTGTTTTCCACACCACAAAGCATAATAATATTGTAGTATTAAAACAAAAAATATAATAAAAAGTATCTTGTTAAAACATTTTGATTTTTTGCATCATATCATAATGCAAATTTAATACATTCAAATTAGAAACTTCGCCATATTGTCAAGATTTTCTTGGCGGTATTTTGACAACTTACAATAAATTACATAAAATAAAACAATGAAAATACAGAATATTAAATATTGTAATATATTCTACAACATAGACCATTTACCTCCTAAAGAGTGAAAGATAAAACAAAGCTTATTAAATCTATCACTATTTTTTCATAAAAAAATATGTGCCTACATTTTTCTAATACAGTAACCAACAGTAACTTGATCTGTTTTAGAATTGATACAAAAATTATAACCATAAAATAATAAATAATTATAACCACACCAGATAAACTGTTGAATGTTTAAATATTATTACCTTTGTCGCATTGATATCTGCTATAAGACTCTGTATAAATTAAAGTGGATTGCGTAAGTAGTTATTTAATGTTACCTCTTTACTAAATTTTACCAAAATTTAGAGTAATTTAATACATAAGTCAGAAATGATAAAATGAATATGTTGTTGCTTGCAAATAAATAAAAAATTAAACTGCTTGGATGTAATGACATGATAATTCAGATATAATATTCATAGATTTAAAACCATCAAATAAGAATATTAATAAATGATTATGAATTTATGTTTTTAATGTATATGAATGATAATATTATGATCCGATCACAATGATAATACCTTACTTCGCAATCTCCATTAAGTATCTTTCCTCTATTTTACACATAATTCACATCATTGGAATTTTGATATTGGTCAATATAAATCTAAAAATCTTAAAATATAAAATTAATCATAGAATTTGTATTGTTACCAATGACTAAAGAATCCAAGGACAAATAACACCCGACAGCAAATTGTGACGCTGGCATCAAACAGTGCCGTGGCACATATTTTTCTTAACCTAGCTGTTTGAAGCAATATTTATATTTTTTGATAATTGTTTTGACTACGCCTATGGTGTATCATCCTAACTAATTACGAAAAAAACGTACTAAAATGTTAACAAAAGATACAAAACTAGTATCGACGTATAGCACATATCAAGTACATATAGATGTTAATTGAAATTGAAGAATAATTATCGAATTCAATAAGAAAACGCTAAAAAGTTGGAGTGGACTGTTTATTTACCTATGAAACGTAACTCCTGGCTCTTTCTTGTCGCTGTGGCTTTTACACTTGAAAGCTACACAATTCACCATTGTAACAAAGTTTATACAAAGTTCACTACACACAACAAACTATTAAAAATCGCTAAAATTGTCGCTGGTGACTGGATGATGACTCACTGTTTGGCATCAAACGAATGGCGTCTAACGTCACAAATTCTACTACAGCCCGTACAGGGGCGTTACATGTCCTTATATTCTTTAGTCATTGATTGTTACTGTACCAAAGATACTGTTGCTACATTTACCTGAAATAGGAGAAAATCGAGTAGAATGATATCATAACTCCATGCTGCTTTTGAAGATGCGCTAAAAGACCTTTATCAGTAGGAAAGGATACAAAGCAGCCTTCTAAACATTTATATTGTATTTAACTGTCCTAGAGATTAGAAAAAACAAGGTTAGAAAAAATATAAAATAAATATAAATAGTATTTATAGAAATATGGCAACATCTGCTACCTGCGCATGCGTAGTATCAATGATGAAAGTCTCCCGATAGACACTTCTGTATTTTTGAGTATTTAAATTTTAATCAAATTTAAATTATTAAATAAAATTGTATTTTAAAAAACAATTACTTCGTAAAAATGACAACAGATATAAATTATTCCGACATTGAAGCCAAATGTCTGCAGGAGCTTCAAAAGCTAAAACTGGAAGAGGTTATTTAACTTAAAAAAATCTGATATAATATATTTCTTTCATTAAATTCGTATTTTATAGGAAAATCTTGTCAGCGAGTTAAATAGCATGGTAAATCAAAAAACATTTATTGAAGATAAAATTAAAGGATTGTCTGGACTTATTCCTAAGTTAAAAGTTATGAAAAATGAAGCCGAAGACTTGGTTTTTACTGTAAATGATATATCACAAAGCTCAGAAAAAATTAGCGGAAAGATTCGAAAGTTAGATACTGCCAGAGTAAATAAGTAACTTAAGTAAATTAAATTTTATGTTATGTTGGTGGTTTTGTAGGGACATGTTGATGAATGTCTTCTTCGTGTTAACGATTTGATAGATTTAGAGATATGTTCCCAAGGGGTGCAACAAGCCATTCTGGATTTGGATTATGAAAAGGGAGCGGCACATGTTCATAGATTCCTGTCAATGGATCAGTCTCTATTAAAGAAAACTGCAAATGATATGAATAATGTATCAAACATGTTAAAGTCAGTTAGGACACTACAAGAAGCTGCAGCTCAGCTTAGAGCAATTGTTGAACACAAATTTTCTGAAGCTGTCAATAATGAAGACTTGGGATCTATAGAAAGGTTTTTTAAAATATTTCCACTACTAGGAATGCACGAAGAAGGTAGAAATTTTAAGAAGCATTCTCATAAATTTATTATTTTATTGAATTTCAGGAATAAAGGAATTTTGTACCTATTTAAGAATCAAACTAGCTTTGACAGCTGATAAAAATCTCAAGTCAGCTATTAACACACCTTTGGCTGACAAACGTTACAGTATCATTTATGCTGATACCCTTATATTATTATTTGAAGGTTTGGCAAGGATAGTGGATACACATCAGCCTTTATTGGAAACATACTACGGGCCTGGCAGGCTTCTTTCGGCTGTAACAATATTGCAGAAAGAATGCGATAATCAAGTAAAAAGAATTTTAATGGAATGGACCAAGACTAGACAAATTCAAAGGAAAATTCAAGTATGTACTGGGTCTCCCGTTTTTGTGTGTTTTATAGGGTTTCTCGTTTTCTTTTATGAGTAGAGGCACAAAGATGCGTTTTTCACATTACTGCTTTATTTTTTATAAAACTAAAGATGCTACACACCAATCTGCTCTTGGTTACTGAAATACAAGTAGCTATGTGAAAACCACATCTTTGTATCTCTACTCATAGTACTCATAAATGAGAAACCTCACAAAACACAAGAAAATGGGACACCCTGTACTCTTATACTAAGGGCTGGCAAAGGTTAGTCTTGGGTCGAGATTTCCATATGTAAGAAGAGTACAATGCGTTTATAATGTACTGAACAAAGAGAGGACAGTAAACACGTTGCCAAACGTATGAAATAAACCGAGAAACTGTGCACATCGCTAAGAGACGTGGAAGGGGATATAGCCATAGACTTAAAATAAAATATAGACTGAGCATCTCATTCATAAATAGCTGGAACATGCGGTCAGACACTGTCTTGTTATTGTTGTGTTATTGTTTTAGGTTATAACGAGTGCGACACGAGCGATAGATAGGTTGTCTCTGTCGTAACGGTCGTTCCCTGACGACTCTGCCGAGAAACACAACACTGTCTTACGTTTCTCAAGTACACCTGAACTCTCCGTATCATAGCCGGGTAATTTTTTATTTTAATGAAGCTATAATCAAATTAAAAATATATCGTATTTAAACTTTTTTATATTTTATTAAGATTTAGGACAGGTTTTTTAAATAAAAGTTTAGAAAAAACAATTTAGAGTCCAAAAAGGATAAAAATAATAAAATACACGTTATAGAAGAAATTTTATTAATCGAAATTACGTAATTTTTGAAATTAATAATAAATTATTAATTTTAGTCAAACATTTACAACCCCTAATATTAATCAAAACAGGATCTATTCCACAGATATAATAGAATCGGCGACAGGGAGAGAGAAAAAAATGATTGTTGTATTTTTTTTCTGGTTAAGTGATGTCTTATTATGTAAATTAGAGAAAACACAAATCTGTTCCATTAAAGCAAGGAAGGTGATAGGAAGTGGATAAAATAAAAACTACATTTATTTAACTCGGTACTGTCTTTATTATACCGGGTGCGTCTCAAAAGTGGCTCATCCCCATAATTTTTTTTATATTTTCAAATAAAAAACAAGATTTAGTATGTTAGTATATGAAATAAATTAGGATTGATTGACGCATTCAATTGTTTTTGGTCACTTCCTGTTTCACCGGAAATGACTATAACTTTTAATTTTTAAACGGCACCCTCGGTATATTTCTACTTTATTCGATAGAAAATGACACTCTGAATAGAATGACATATCATATGTCAACTTTTGAAATTTTCGCATATGGTTTAATTGTAATTGTAACACGCGGTTCATAACGACAATTTGACTCGAAATACCAAGTGCGTGGTATCAATATATTCATAAAAAAAATGCTTTTTCCAAATATGCTAATGAGTCATCCTTGTTCCATTTGAAAAAATTGACATATGTATGATTAAAAATACGATTTGTACATCTTTTAACCGGCCTAGACAAGACACGAAACCTATTAGACGATCAAAACTATTTTTCCAAGGCTCCTTGATTAAAACTTAGTGGATTGAAAAAAACTGGATTGAAATTTAAAATAGGATATGTTTCTAAGCGACAATGTCAAAAGTTGACATATGATATGTTATTCTATTCAGAGTGTCATTTTTTATCGAATAAAGTAGCAATATACCGAGGGTGCCTTTAAAAATCAAGTATGTAATCATTTCGGTGAAACAGGAAGAGACCAAAAACAATTGAATACGTCAATAAATCCTAATTTATGTCATATACCTACTAACATACATAGTTATGTATGTTAGTAGGTATATTAGTAGGTTATGTATGTTAGTAGGTAAATATATGTTATAGGGTTGAGCCACTTTTGAGACGACCCGGTATATTAAAAAATATTGTTTCATAATGTAATATCATTTTAAAATTCTTGTATGTTATTTTAGATTCTGAAGATAATTTTAGAATAAACCGGAATATATTTTTAATAAAAACAATATTAATTATTAACAGGGTTATAATTATGATTTTGTTACAATGTAAGTAAGTAAATAATGTAATGTAAAAGAAAAAATTCAGATTTTACATTTTACTAAAATATTATCTAAATAAGCGCCTTTCTACAACAACGCCACTGACTGCCAATGGGTAAATTGAGAGTTGCCTACCGGTCAAAAGTCGTTTCAAGACTTAAATGGATTATTTAAGTCAAATTTCTTGCAAATTTGGCACTGGCGAACCATATTTTATAGTTTTTGAACAGAAAAAGTCAATAAAATAAACACTTAAGGACTACAAGCTAAGAAAATGCGTTAATACAGCCGGGGAGATAGCGGCAACAAAGCTTTACCGCACACGTGCGACACGTACTACAAGGTAATAAATGAATGAATAGGCTCCCTCGCCTCTAATCGGTGTTGTCATATTGTAAAGAACTTATCCTTATTAAACAGTATCCGACTTATAATTTAGTAGTATAAGGACTATTTAATACATCTATGGAATATTAAAACCTATTTTATTAAACTGTAGTATTAATATCTCAATATATGTGTATAACAAGAAAAAAAATATTGATAATATTAAAGACGTGACAACATAGGCTGGATGAGGAAGGCTCGGTCGACTGTACCCAGAAGTAAACATGTGTACAAAAAAGGTTGTTTGTCCGCGTTGAGATGTAAATAGTGTAGTCTATATTTTATTTTAAGTCTATGGATATAGCAGATTTGTCGCAGTTGACCGGTCGACCCAATCAATACCTCTGTCAGTACTTAAAGTTCTAGGGAAAGGTGTACGTCATGCATTCAGCTTCACGATTTAATTACGTCTCGTGATACTTAATTTGTTTATTTATTAACGAGTCGTTGTAATTTTCCCTATAGCTTGAATTTTTTTAAGTGCAAGCTAGAAACACTTGCATTTTTGGTTAAAATAAGTGGAATTGACTGGTGTAAGTGGAATTAACTGGGTGTTCGATAGTGGTCGCGCTATTAGAACTCTGAATTCAAAAATCGATATCTCAAAATCTATTAGAAATAATAGATTGTAGTTTTTTCAAGCACTTTGTTAATATTTCTGCTGTATTTTCTTTGTATGTGAAAATCTTTATCAATAAAAAAATTGCACGATTGCTGAAAATTGCTATGCTCTAAAAGTAAATGGATGGATTGTTTACAATTTGGCTGTACTTAAACGGCCGTTAAACGGTAGCTTACTAAAGTGCCGTTAATAGGTATGACGTCGCTGATGTGACGCACTTGACGGCTTTATGAAATATAGGAATTTTATAAGGACTAACCAACGCTGTCCACCCCACCATATAACCAACTTAACCAACGCAACTAACCTCGACACTGATAAAAAAAATTAAAAAACAAATATAAATTAGTAAAAACCAACCAACCCCACCAAATAACCAACTAACCAATGAATTAACACTCTCCAAATAACCACGCTAACCAACCCGCCAAATAACTAAACCAATCCAACCAAAAAGAGTGAAACCAATGCAATAAGATCACGCTATAAGCAAAAAAAATATAAAAAAGTAAAAACCAACCAACTCCACCAAATAACCAACTAACCAATGAATTAACACCCTCCAAATAACCACGCTAACCAACCCGCCAAATAACTAAACCAATCCAACCAAAAAGAGTGAAACCAATGCAATAAGATCACGCTATAAGCAAAAAAAATATAAAAAAGTCTTGGTCAGCGTGAGATTTGAACCCCGGACCATTCGCTTACGAACCGATAGCCTCAGCAACGGAGCCACAGGTGCTCTTGCAATATGCTTATGGCTAGGCATTACTTTCCGCCGACATGAACGACGTCACAATATCTATTAACGGCATTTTAGTAGGCTACCGTTTAACGGCTGTTTAAGTACATCGTTACAATTTTTGAATGGAAAAAACAACCTTATCGAATTTTTCTTATGTAAACATATTGTAAAATATCCGATCTTGAAAATAAAAAAAAGATTCAATATCTAAAGTGATTCTTGAGTTATGGCCTGTTATGTGTTAAAAAGTTGAGTTTTTAAATTATCGCGATTACTGACGTTTTCTCGTTATAAAAAAATAACACCCGAACGATATCCTTATAATTCCATTTCAGATGCTCAGAAACATGTCTAATGATTTTATCTAGTTATCTCTTGAAAAAAAGTCTTTTAAAAATAAGCGGTTTGCGATCGTGATTTTACTTTACTTGATAGGGAAAGGCGTATCGGCAACGCCGCAACAGCACACCGTTGAGCGTCGCGTCGGTCGCATTTCTCCCACTCTGATTAATAAGATCCCTATGCGATTTACTTCCACACATGTAAATGCCGACCCAAAAGTAACAGTTGCCAGCACGGTAGATATGTAGCATGTAGCAACAGTTACTAACAACATATATGTTCATTTTTTTTAGCAAATTACTGAATTATCCAGGATGAGTTCGAGTGCTAGTTTTAGTAAAATTGAGAAAATAGATCCTAAAGATATGGATATTCTAATAGGTGAAATAACATTAATGCATTTCCGTTGTGAACTATACATCAAGTTTTTGCAAAGAAAGATAATGGTAATTTATCAGTTTAATACACAGATTTGATTTAATAAGACTTATAAACTTTGAATTTCATTTTCACTGTTGGATACCTCATATTTTAGGCTGATATTGAGGTTGGCATATCAGACAGAGAACAGAAAGAAAAAACATTGAAACAACTAGACCAATTAGTTTTAAATAGCACTTTAAGTCAATGTAAACATGATTTACTCTCACACTATTTACAATTGGAGCAATATTTTATGGAAGAATCAGTGGCCAAAGCTATAAACATGGACATTTTAGAAGCTTCACAGCATACCTCTAGCATGGTAGATGACACGTTTTTTATTATCAGAAAGTGTATAAGGTAAGTAAAGATATGTGACTCATACAGCGCTTTCAGATGGAGCTGAGCGACCGCGACGGACCGTCCGTCATGTTTTTCAAGATAGCCGTTGGACGGAGCATACGCGCTCATGTGAAATTGTTTATATAAACTCATGGTACTTGCTCGAAGTCGCGGACGCTCTCCGCTCCATCTGAAAGCGCTGATAATGAAAATTACTACCATTAATTTTATTGTTCTGAATGCTTACATTAAAATTAGAGGAACAAATTTCTACAAACACTTCATTTATTCTTTTAATTTCAATGTTTGTTTAAGCTAAAGATAGTAATAATTTTCAATTAGTGGAAAAAATTAACAAATTTACACTGATTAATTTTATTTTAGGCGTTCGATTTCTACTGGAAGTTTAGATGGTATTTGCGTTATAATTAATAATGCTTGCAGAGTACTAGAAAATGATTATTGTACGGTGTTAAAGGCTAGACTTAAGCAAGGCTATCCTTCAGGATATTTGGATTTGTCTCAAGCCTATAATGTATTACAAAATTCGATCCAACAAGGCAGATTGCAATCGGGAGATACTGAGCAATCGCGTACAGCGTTTATAGTGAGTAAATAGGTTTATTTCCACACTGAAATTTGTTACCGTGTTTACACCAAGGTTATTAAAAGATAAGATTGTCTTGTAACTCGATCCGCCATTATCGGAAACGTCATCAACTACGTCACAGGTATACGGCTGATCATAGATAAAGGGATAAAAACTGCCGATAGTCCGACAGTGCATTTCCGAATCGATACTTATTGTGTATGGCGTCCATAGTTTTCAGTTGCTTGATGTCTGTTTTCTTTATTACATTGATTACATTGCCCATTTATCACTTTTTGTCCGTTGCATTTTATTTTTTATGCCTTTATCTATGATTTTATACGTTCTGTAGCATACCTGTGACGCAATTGGCGCTTGGCTCCTATTGGTCCAAAAGTTACAAGGCAACCTTATAAACGGTTTGTACTCTTCTTACTTACGGAAATGTCGACCCAAGACTAACCTTTGCCAGCCCTTAGTATATTTAAAATACCTTTAAATTAAATTTTACATGTGTTTTAGTTCCACAAAACATTCTAACCCAACAAAAATAAAATTATTATACTGAATTTTTTAGGTTGCATTGAATAATGCTGATAATAGCACCGAATACGTAACAGCATTGTGCGACAGTATAATGAAGGAAATCGAGGCGGCTTGTCCAAACCTGAACGCAAACGAAAGAGGAAAATTGGAAAGTTGTTTGTCGGGATTATCGTCAGTTAGTGCCAGTTTGACAGAAATAATAGAATACGGATTTCAACAGCTGAAATCTACGGCAATTAAGCCCAGGATAAATCCGTGGATGGACAATTTCTTGAATTTCAGTCATCAACTTACAGAGGTACAAGCCTTGATAAACGATAAACCTTACCACACAAAACACATTATACAATACAGCTTTTTTTTTTCTTTTTTTTTGTGAGGGGGTGGTTGAAAAATCTTTTATAGACGAATAGTGATCATTTCCATAACCATCTCGAGAGAGACGGTCATAGAAATAACCCCTAGACAGTGTGGGACTCGGTGTTGATACCCACTAAAAAAAGTCCACCTCCGAGGAATCAGCCGCCGAAGAATGGTCAGCTATTATTCCTGCTAATATGTGGGGAAGAAAAAAAGGGGGGGTGTTGTGGGGTGATGGGAGGACTATATTATGAGAAGGGGGGGGGGACAAATTGTCCAGAAGAATGGTTTTAAGATGGGAGTATTTGAAGCTTCTATAGTCCTCGGGATTGTAATCGAAGATTTTTAGGGTACTATTGGGGATAGTACCGATTTTCTCGTAGAACTTCAAGGCACGATCTCGAAGGTATTTGGGGATGGGGTCGATGCGTAGGTCGGTACGGATGTCAGAGTTGCGTATATACCAGGGAGCTCTGGTGATATAGCGGAGGATTTTGTTTTCACAAACTTGGAGTCTGTGGATTTGGCTGTCGGAAGCTCTACACCATACTGGGGCTGCATAGAGGAGCTGACGGCGAATGACTGTTCTGAACAGTAGGACTTTATTTGAGAGGGAGAGGGTGCTCTTTTTGCTGAGGAGGCCATGAAGGCTAGCATAAGTGGCACGGGCACCAGAAATTTTCTTGTCGACATGAGGGATCCAGGATAGCCGTCGGTCTAGTGTGATACTTGGCGGTTTCCCCCCAAGGGATCTCTTCGTCGTCTATGACTAGCGGAGGAGGTAGTGGGAGCCTCATTCGTCCGGAGACGAACAAGGTTTGGGTTTTTGCTGCATTGATTTTGATTTTCCAGTGGGAAAACCAATCAAGCAGCTGGGCGATGTGGGGGTGGAGCCTGCTCTGAAATCCATTGCTCGAGGCAGTGGAGTAGAGACAGGTGTCGTCTGCGAATAACGCAAGACGAGTCTCCAGGGATTTGGGGATATCGGATGTGAAGGTATTACAGAGTGTGGGCGACAGGACAGAGCCCTGCGGCCCCCCGCCTCTATAGCACGAGGAGTGGAAAGAGAGTCTCCGATGCGGACCTGGAATCTCCTATCGACAAGAAAGGATTTAATGATGAGAGTGGTCTGTTGGGGAAAGTGAAAAACGTGGTGAAGTTTGAACACAAGGCCTTCGTGCCAAACCTTGTCAAAGGCCTTCTCGATGTCAAACATGACAAGACCAGTACCTCGCTTGGCGTTTAGACCCTGCGTAACATATTCCACCACGCGTGCGACTTGCTGTTCGCAGGAGAGGGATTGGCTAAATCCGAACTGCTCCTGAGGGATGATCTCGGCACTAGCCAGGAAGTCGTTAATTCTAGAGAGTATAACCTTCTCAGCCAGTTTCGAGAGGAAGGAGAGGAGGCTGATGGGGCGCCAGTTTTCTGGGAAAGTGAGGTTCTTATTTGGCTTTGGGATTAGAATAATTATGGCTAGTTTCCAAACGTTTGGAAAATATCTGAGGGACATTATCAGATTAATGATGGTGGTAAATTGGGTTATAAGAACCTCGGGGAGGTGTTTCAGTGCGATGTTGTTACTTGGTCGTGACCTGGGACTTTTCTGCTGCGCAGTGTGGAGATGATGGCCGATATTTCTTTAGGAGTTGCTGGGGGGATAGGGGCCTCGAGAGGGGGAATGGGGGCTACGAAGCTTTCGTAGAATTCTTCTACAACTTCATCGAAATCGATGTCGTCGTCGGGATTTCGGTTTGGACGGAATTGGCGTTCTAACGAGTCGGCAAAGGCCTCTGCCTTCGCCTCGTCGGAATAGACCACTCCGTTCAGGCCGTGAATTGGGGGGACGTAGCGTGAGTTGGTGTTTCTCATTCGCTTTTGAACCTTCCAAAGCGACTTTTTATCGTCCTCAAGCGTAGATAGGAAGCTCTCCCACCTTTCATCTCTGAAAAGTTTGAGCTCTTTCCTTTCATCTGTCGCTTTAGATTGGGGTCGAGAAGGGTACGATACTGGCGTTTGAGCCAATTTTTCTCGCGAATGAGGGCTCGGATGTGAGGGGGGGGGGCTAGAAAAGGGTTGTTTGGATTATTTGGCACTGTTGAAGTGCTATGTTCTATGGCTTGGGTTATGGCTGAAGTGAAGGTGATGACCGCCGCCTCGAGCGAGGCGGCGTCCGCGATGCGCGGTAGGGTGGGCGGTTGTTCTTTGAGAGTTTTGGCAAATTTTTGCCAGTTGGTGGTTTTACGTGTTTTGTGAGTGGAAATCGTGTGAGTACTAGTGAGTGTAAAGAACACCGGGGAGTGGTCAGAACTAAGCTCCTCATGCACTGAAACTGACATGTGGGATGTTATGTTTTGGGAAAGTCCAAAGTCTATGGTCGATGGTAGGCCATGGGAGGGAAAACAGGTCGGGTCACTTGGAAAGTGGCCCTGAATGGGGAGGTCGTTGAGAAGTTCGGCTACTGCCGTTCCTCGGGGGTTTCCTTGCCGGGATCCCCAACGCCGGTGTCTGGCGTTGAAGTCCCCGGCAAGTAGGATTGGGAATTTGGTAGAGGATAGAAGCACTTCGAGATCGTGTCTTGTGTCCTCGCGAGAGGTCTGGTTGGGGATGTAGATGGATGCCACAACGACAGGACTGTTGGATGTTTGATGGAATGAATTTGGACTATTGTTGCTTCGATGGAACGAAGCAGGGGAGTTGGGAGAGGTGTGTGGCGATGTATATTTTTGACGAGTATGGCTGTGCCTCCGCCCCGTCGGTCAGGGCGGTCGTTGCGGTAGACAAGATGGCTGGGAAATTTGAAAGAAGTGTGAGGGCGAAGGTAAGTCTCTTAGATTAGGATGAAGTCGGGACTGGATTGGGTGATGAAATTGAGAAGCTCGAGCCGTTTGGGAAAAACGGAATTTGCATTCCAAGAGACTATGAGAGGCCTTTTGCATGAGTGGCAGTCATTGCTTAGGCTGGGGGTTTAGGGGGAAGGCGAGCATGCCGGAAAGCATGTTCGCAACTGCGGCTTGGACTTGAGCTTGGATTTGCTCGAGTAAAAGCTGCTGGAATGCGGGGCCGAAGAGTTTTTGAGCTGAGATTTGCTCAGCTAGAAGTTTTTGGAAATCTGGACTAGGGGGAGGGGGGGATGGTAGTCCAGACTGGTTTGGGGGCAATACTTTGGATGGAAGGGGTGTTACCTTTTGCTACATTAGCATAAGAAGACGATTGGGTAGCTGAACTAAAGCCAGAGGGCTTTCTAGAATCATTTGGTCGGTCCTTATTAGAGGAGGGTCGATTTTCCGGGTTGTTGGGATTGTTGGGGCAGAGAATGTGATTTGCGGGGTGTGGTCCGCCACAGTTCGTGCAAACTGCGGCAGAGTCCACCGTTTTTTCGCAGGACTTTGTGCTGTGGTGTCCGTCACACTTAACACAGCGGGGTGGGCAGAAGCAGTTTGTGACAGAATGACCGAAAAGTTGACAATTGTGACATTGGCGAGTGCCATTACCACGATTTTGGGGTTCGATTATAACCCTGAGAAGGGCTACAGTACGGACTTGGAAAATATGAGTCTGACTACGGGGGATTCGGATTTTTACTACTGGAAGGGGCTTACCTTTACGGGTAAGGCGATGAAATTCTTTGACTTCGAACCCTTGAGAGGTCAAGTCGTCGATGATCATTTCATTCTCGATATCAGTTTCGATGTTTTTAATTACGATATTTAGGTCCCCTTCTTCAGGGAGAAAAAATGTATAATATCTTATCTTCTGACTCTTGAAGTAAGCTGTTATGAGCCTGTGATCGGCGATAGTGGCGGGGCTAATTTGTATACCGTGTTGCACGGTTTTGGAGCTTTTTATGGTGATTTTTTGCTCCTTTAGTCTGCGAGTTATACTCGACCACAGTCGAGTATCTCTCAGAACTATTGGAGTGGGCTTAGTGGATGTCTGTTGGGTAGGTTTTTCTTGCTGCGTTTGAGGAGCAGCAGAGGGAGTAATTTCTGCAGGAGCCTGTCTAGCAGGGCTGCTGGGGCGAATTTTTGGATCTTCCTCAGAGGTACCGGAGGAAGATGGACCTGAGGAAGATGGGCCTGGAGTGGGGAGCGGGGGGAAATTTTCATGTTCGGGGGAAGCAGCCCTCGCTGCTATTTTCTTGGTTTTTACTGAAGAGAAGAAGTCGTCAGAATTACTCTGACGTGCCCTCTTCTTTTTAAGGACCTTCCTCTTGGGGCTAGGACCCTCTGACTTTTCGTTAGGAATTTTGGGGAGTTTGCTGTTAAATATTGGAAAGTGAAATTGACGTTTAAATTTGACACTGTTGACAAGCCTACTGCTACTAGCACACCCAATATAGCTTCTAGGAACTAGGAACCACGGACTATATTGTCACGTATGGCGGGAAGTTTAAAAAAATTAAAATTTTAATTCTTTAGTTATTTTCAATTATGGCATATGTATATAAAAACACAAAAAATATACATTTTTTTAAAGATATGTTTATGTTTAATTATTTAAGATATTGTTATGTTTATGTTTATATTATAATGGTATGTTGTTTAATATAAAACAGAAATATTATTTCTCCACAAAAAAATTAATAAAATTAAAAGAATAATATTACAAGTACAAATCAAGAGACAAAATAATTTATGTAACAAAACTGGAAAAAAATGGCGTCATAGATGGCTTAGAAATGAAGATATAAACGTCGTACCAAAATAAAAACCGTTGCATGTCATCGAGCACGTGCGTTGATTGTAAACAGCAGCGTTGATTGTAGACAGCATTGTTGCCAGATTGTAATCGGAAGAGAAATATTTTTGAAAAATTTACTATATCTAAGATCTATTAAAAATTCTAAAATAAACTTTAAATTGTTAACAGTTTTAAATAGTTGAAAAAAAATATTTTTAAACAAAACATGTTTTTTTATTGTTTAAACAAATTTTTATGGTTTTAAAGAACATTGTAAATACAAAGTCGAAAATAAGTTTACAACATTTTTATACTCTGTTTTAAACCATATCATGTTGAGTAATGATAAAGCCAAAGGACAAAACTTAATTCGATTTTAGAAACTTTAATGGTGCTCCTCCAAGTAGTAGTACAGAATTAATAGTTTATTTAGACAATATTAAGTTGAGCTGATTACTCCGTTTTTTATTCCTTTTGTATTATAGTTGTTTTTTTATTTTGAAAGAGTTTTTCTCATTTTTTATTGAAATAAACACCTACACACCAAACCTATTTAATACTAATTTTAAACAAATATTTAAAACAAGTAATGGTGTTTTAAAAACCTACACACGAGACACAACTCTCAACTAACGTTCAGAAAATTCTGGCAAAAGTCAAATAAACGTGGCACCGCTGCAACCGCTTCCTCGCCGTTGCCAACACAATATCGAGTGGGAGATTTAAAACTCATTGAAAACGTCCCATAAGGGCCATATTTGTGTAGTGGTAGCACTGCACACATTTATTAGCCTAATCGATAGCCCGCAACGGTTTTTATTTTGTACGACGTATATATCATAATTTTGTAAGTAAAGTTATATGAACGGAAACGTCATCGATCATCATTTTTAACCCAACTCATCAGATAAACATAGAATGGATAATTTTTAGGACGAATTGTCGGCGTACGAAGCTGGGGAATCCTTTGCCCAAACATTGATCATGAATTTGGAGACGTTGCTTTCGTCGTTTAAAGAAATTTTGAGCTCAAACAATTACGACCACTTTATCCAGGTACTGACTGTAGAGGTGACACAACGTTTCGAAAAAGTTATTATGAAATCACAGTTCAATAGGGTAAGTTAATTAGTGGTTTTGATATTTAATTGCAATGAAAATAGCAGTTTTAATTAAATAAGACGCAGATCTAATTTCAAACTTGTGAAAGAAAACCACAAAACATCGCCCTTTAGAACTTCATCTGTCATATTAAGAAAACGAAAGTAAAAAGCGCCTCTCATGTTTGTTCGCATACTAAAAATTTCAAGTAATGCCTGTATATACTTTTGATCAATTTTTTAATATAGCTTTTAAATTTAATTTTAGACGACTATTAAGATCGGCAAAAAAAAGTGTTTTTAATTTCATTCAAAATGAGTTATTTGGATCATAAATGACCTAAATACAAAATATTTTCATGGTGTCTGTCTGTCCGTCTGTAACACGATAACTCAAAAACCGCTCAACCGATTTTAACCAAATTTGGCACAAAAGTACTGTGGCACCCGAGAATCTGGCCATTAGTTTTTGGTGGGGGTGGGGGGTTGGTAAGCGCGTATGGGAGAGGGTTAAAAATTTTTAAAAAATCGTAGCTCCAAAATTACAGTAGCTAGCGAAACGCGATTTTCAATTTAAGATTAGGAATAATATTTGCAACAAAATTTGTAATAACAGAAAGGTATTAAAAAATAACATTAACTTTTTATCCCGTTAAAGTAACTGAATAGCATTAAAATTTTAGATCTAAATTTTACGAATATTAATATGAAATAAACTACAGCATAAGATGAACAAAATAAAATCTAGATAATAAAAAGCGTGTCTTAAAATTGCGTTAGCGAGTATTTAGCAACTAGTAATAATATACCTGTGATAAAAAGTTTCTAAATATTAAAAAATTTGAAAACTATACGTTTATCGACAAGTTAAGAAAATGTATTGTATATGATAACGGCAGAATACATTTTAAAGTTTAATTAAAAATAAATGTAAAAATTTGCATACCATATTTAAAAAATGTGGATATCAGATAGAATTAACTATTAACATTAAGTAATTTGTAGTTCGATGTTCATCAAGTAACCATCTCCATAAATCGTAAATAAAAAGATAAAGATATCATTTTTTTTATATTGCCATTTCATAATAATAATAATAATAATACTTTTCATTATTTATTTCATCCTGAATTTCCAAATCTTTTTTTCTTTCATCGGGACGTTTTCTCTTTATGGGAACATGCACAGAGGGTCCATAAGAGGGTTGTTTTGGAAAAATTGTAGGCACAGCATGTTCTGTAGGTTTTGGACGTGACCTAGTTACAGTTAATATTGTTGGGAAAGAGAATGTAGACAGATCCTGAGGACTTATTATAATTGCTGCTACAAGGCACAGGCACAGAACAATGTCGCGGAATTTTTTATTTCACAAAGTAAAAAAAAAGAAACGAAAACTGTTTTACATAAAAATACATGTCACTTACGTTGGTTTAACACTCTACACTAACACTAACGCTATTAATTATGTTTTTATATAAATTCCCCAACTTTTTCCTAGCCCGGACACACAGCCGGTGTTACTATAATTTTTACCGAAAGTATGGTTTTTTTCGCGGGTACCATGTTATGAATCGGATCTAGATAGTTCACTATTCACTCAAAATTATTTAGTATAATTTTATTAGCATAGAAACGCGTAAAAAACACAGATTTGTTGCGAAACTAAAGAAAACAATTGGTTTGTTTACGACTACTAATTCTGGACCACCGGTAGAACTGTCAAAACAGTCAGGCCTTGAATATGACGTTAGCCACGCTTTTTGTTATCAAGATGACATTTTAGAGGGCAACTGCCATATATGTCATAATATTTTAATTTTAAATATGAATGTAATATAATTTAAATTAATAAAATGCAACTTTATAATAAGAAAACATTTATACATTCACAAAATACAACAAAATCTAATAATATAGTTAGGAAACAATGAAAATTAAATTAAAATTAAAAAAAGCTAAGCGCGACCCCCTGTGTCAAAATTAATTGATAAAATTTTTGCAATTTTTACACCATTTGATGACTGGTGTGATGACTTGTTCGCACGGTTAGTCTTTTACTTTCCTTTATGGCTATTAAAGAAAAAATTCTAAAGGGGGATGTTTTGTGATTTACAAAGAAAAATCTCATGACAACCATGATACAAAGAAAACAAGATATGATAGGTTGGTCACAGGTGATAACGGCACCATTGGTCTGCAAGCTCCGCGCGCCAATTTCAAATCATCTGATCGAAACTGATGACACATAAAAAATGTAAAAATTAGTGATGGGATAACTCGAGCGAAAATTCGCTCGAGTACTCGATTATGAAATAACCGACATCGCTCGATTATGAACGAGCGATGCAAGTGACGAGTATCAAGCGACGAATGCAAGCGATCCTAGAATGAAATAAATTGAAATCCGATTTTAATGTGACATACTCGATAAAAAGCCGAGCGAATTTTCTACATATTACATTGCAGGTAGCAAATTTATACGACGTCGTATATACCGGGTGCGTCTCAAAAGTGGCTCACCCCTGAGATTTGGTATGTTAGGATATGACATAAATTAGGATTGATTGACGTATTCAATTGTTTTGTCACTTCCTGTTTCACCGGAAATGACTACAATTTTTGATTTTTAAATGTCACCCTCGGTATTTTTTTTTACTTTATTCTATAGAAAATGACATTCTAAATAGAATGACGTATCATATGTCAACATTTGACATATTCGCTTAAAAACAAATTGTATTTTAAGTTTCAATATAGAGTGCCATGGCTGTGTTAAAAACACTAATTTTTAATCAAGGAGCCTTGGAAACATAGATTTGATCGTCTAATGTTTTGCGCTGGCCGGTTTAAAAGATGCCCAAATCGTATTTTTGATCATATCTCAATTTTTTCAAATGGAACGAGGGTGGCTCATTAGCATATTTCGAAAAAGAATTTTTTTACGAATAATTTGATACCGCACACTTGGTACTTCGAGTCAAATTGTCGTTATGAACCGCATGTTACAATTTCAAATAAACCATATGCGAAAATGTCAAAAGTTGACATGTGATATGTCATTCTATTCAGTGTCATTTTCTACCGAATAAAGTAAAAAAATACCGAGGGTGCCATTTAAAAATCAAAAGTTGTAATCATTTCCGGTGAAACCGGAAGTGACCGAAAACAGTTGAATATGTCAATCAATCCTAATTTACGTCATATACTAACATACCAAATCTCGTTGTTTTATCTGACAAAAAAATAAAAAGTTTAGGGGTGAGCCACTTTTGAGAGGCACCCGGTATATTTATCCGTTGCGTATCTGAGGGACAAAATTTTACGACCTACATCGACAATGCTTCGAAATAAACTAAATCAAGCGATCAAGCGAATCGCTCGCCGCTTACTACTTGCCGTTCATTACCGAAAGAATATGTGCCCTGCGCACGCAACGGACTGCTTGGGGTTAACAAGTACTTGCAAGTACTTACAACATGCGACGGATGAAAACCGTATTTTTAAATACGAGTGATATTTCGCTCGAGTGATCACTCGGTTATTGCTATCGCTTGGTACTCGAGTACTCGATTATTGAAATTAATCGGTTTTTCTCATTACTAGTAAAAATGCCTTTCCAAATGTCAAGCTCAATGATTTGGCATAACTTTTGAGGTTTTGTCCTAATTCTTCCGTATTTTAGGTCTTTTTTTATTAGTGGCAATTGAACAATATGGATATTTTTTTGGATGGCTTATGGCGTCACAGGTGATATGCGCAAACTGAACGAAACTGGAGCCGCTATCCATACCTTGTTTTCTTTGTATTATGTATGACAACTGGCAACAATTGCCATTCTTCTTCTCAGTCATTACTCATCCACTGCAGAATGTAGGCCTCTCTCAGTTTCTTCCACTCGTTTCGATTCTGCGCTCTCCTCATCCAGTTCTTACCGGCTACGGTTTGGATATCATCAGTCCATCTTTTAGGAGGTCGGCCGACTGGGCGTTTTGCTAGGCGTGGCCTCCAGCAAAGAAGTCTTTTTGCCCATCTTTCCTCGGACTGTCTGGCCAAGTGTCCTGCCCAAGACCATTTAGAGTTAGCTATCCTCTCTACGATGTCCGTTATCCTCGTCTGTCGGCGAATGTCTTCATTTCTAATGTGGTCGCGAAGACTGATACCCATCATGGCTCTTTCCATAGCTCTTTGGGGCTCACTCGCAACCTGTTCACACTTCGTGCCGTCATCGTCATAGTTTCCAAACCATAGGTCATGACAGGCAAGACGCATTTTTTGTAAACGTCTCTTTTTAGGCTATTTGGGATTTTGCTTTTGAATATAAAGTTAAGTTTACCAAAAGCTGCCCATCCGAGTTTGATCCTTCTAGAAATTTCGGTTGTTTGATTTTCCTTGCCGAGTTTTATGGCATGACCTAGATATATATACTCTTTAACGTTCTCAATCCTTTGTCCATTAACATTACTTGCTCTTCATTTTCATTTAGGGTTTTAGTTTTAGACAAATTCATTTTTAAACCTACTTGCGCAGATGTGTGGTGAAGTTGTTCGAGCATTGTTTGAAGTTCTTCCAACGATGAGGCCAGGACAACAACATTATCAGCGAAGCGCAAGTGGTTAAGCATCCCACCTTCTACCTTAATACCCTTATTGTCCCAGTTCAGCTTCTTAAATACGTCCTCCAGGGCCAGTGTAAAAAGTTTGGGAGAAATAGTATCTCCCTGTCGGACTCCTCTTTCCATTTTTGATATAAATATGGAAATTTTAATTTTATTTGTGATATTTATGTCATCCAGTTTGATAGTCATTGTAGCTGATTTGTAAATAGATGATATTATGCCCGAGTATCTGTAGTCTATTCTGGCATTTTGTAGGGCATCGAGGATGGCGTGTAGCTCTATAGAGTCGAAAGCCTTCTCATAATCCACAAAGGCGACATATATAGGGAAGTTGTATTCGGTGCTTTTCTCTATGAGAGTGCGGACTGCCTGAAGGTGATCCACAGTACTATATCCACTTCTAAACCCTGCCTGTTCCGGGGGTTGATAAAAGTCGAATTTGTTTGACAGGCGATTTGTCAGCACCTTTGTGAATATTTTGTAGAAGTGCGAGAGCAGGCTGATGGGACGATAATTGTCGAGTCTGGTGTTATCACCCTTTTTGTGAATGAGAGTGATTGTTTGACAATTGCCATTACTACCAACATAAAGATTTTTTATCGGCCAATTCGTTTACTTGCTTGCTGTCATTTTTTATATTCGTGCTGTCGTTTTTTATTATTATCAGGATATAAGATTATACGAAAAATAAAAAATTGCGTTCTAAGTTTCAAATGAATTTTTATTTATTAGAAATATCATTTCGGTCAATAGTTTTGACATCTTTGATTACCTGCACGCCAACTTTGATTGATTTCTCTAAAAATTTTAACATTCATTGTTTTTCAGTTGGGTGGATTAATCTTGGACAAGGAAGTTAGATCGCTAGCTGGATATATCACGTCAGGTACTTACTGGTCGGTCAGAGATCAGTTTGCCAGACTAACTCAAATAGCCACCATATTAAATTTTGATCAAGTCAGCGAAATCAACGATTACTGGGGCAATGTAGACGGAAGCATTACTTGGAGGCTAACTCCAACAGAAATAAAGAGCATTTTATATCTAAGGTATGAAAAGATCCATTTTTCTCTTTTTTTTTTCATCGTGGGTACTTACCTTAAAGGTAAGTTTCCACGATGAAAATTTGTCACGAAATTTTTGTGTCATGAGTCAAACATTTCAGGTTTCTCAATGGAAACACACTTGAGATGCATGAAATATTGTTAAAAATCTCATGACACAATATTTCATGAGATATTTTGTTTCATGAACAATTATTTTCTTCACTCACATTGTTTGAAATTTTTGGTTCATGAGACACGACGTAAAGTGAAACTATACCGGGTGTTGCATTGTCGAGCGGGACATAGGAAATCCCATGTAAATTTTAGGATTATCTTATTTATTTGGTTGTTATGAGATAGGATTTCTTTCTCTGGGGCCATTTAAAAAACAGGATATACAAGGATAAAAAATAGCCAAATCTAGACGAGTTAAAAAATGCTATTTCTGCCGAATGCAATACAATTTCAGTTTACCAACTAGCCAATGTAAGAAGAGAATTTTATGATCGCCTGGGTTATTGTCTAGCAGTCGATGGAGGAATATTTGAACATCTTCTTAAAACAATTTAATAGTATCTAAATTAATAAGTTATTGAATATTGTAATAATACTATAATTAACCTTGTCATTGATTACTTTATTTTACTTTAATTCATATTAATTTGTATTTATAAATACATCTTTAAGATTTCCGATGTAGGAATGAGCAAGGAATGAGTTTTCAATAATAATAAAGCACTAAATAGGTAAATTTCTGAAATGACAACTTCATTTGACAGTTATCTTTTACCTTGACTGGTGCTCATAAGTAAATACAGGGCCATAAGAAAGGAGAAATATTTAAAAAGAAATCGGCGATAACTCGTAAACGAGCTAATCAAAAATATCTAAAGTTATTCTTTTGAATGTGGGTTTTAGTGCTCTTCAATAAATCTAAATAGAATTATTCTCTAAAATAATTAGGGAAGCCAATAATTGACCCCATTAAAATTTACATGGGATTTCCTATGTCCCGTCCGACGATGCAACACCCGGTATACTAATTCTCTAATTCATTATAATAAAATTAAATAATAAAAATATTGTTATTATATTCCTGCAGATTAAGTGAAAAGTTTTGTTCTTAAATATCTACTATACATATTATAAACGCGTATTCGAAAATTAATCTTGTCGATCTTGGAATATATGGAATATATCAATACAGGGTCCGGCAATAGTGCGTCGGGCATCTCTGTAGCTCCTAGAATAAAAAACTTGGGAATTTTATTGTTTTAATGCAAATCTAAAATATGTATGTATTAGGATGTATTTCAGGAAAATATTTTAACTTCTATAGGGTGGCTCAAAGAAGTGTGAGTGGATCGGGATGATTTTTTAAATGGAACACACTGTATGTTATTGCATTTTTGGCTTCCTTTCAGATCACTTTACATACTCTTAAGACATGAGTAAATATATTTCGACAATTTCAGAAATATTAATAAATAAATAAAAATTATGTATTTTTCATCCTCTCTTAAAAAAAATATTAATAATACAAAAACTGTCCTGAAATCAAAACTCTATTAGGTATTTACTTTAGATGGTATGTAATTACTTTGCTATAAATATGGAAATCGTAAATCATACAGGATGTTCAAAATTCTACGCCAAATTTTCTAAAATATAAATTTTCCTTCGTTTTTTAAAATTGAACATCCTGTATATTATTTTTTCAATAGACGGAGAATTAAAAACATTTTTTGTATTCAGGGCTCAAACACACTGACGACCAGGTCGCACCAGACAGGCCGCAGCTACCTCTAAAACCATTAAATCAAATGATATAGCGCACACTAACGTCCTGGCCGTCCGTTGGTCGTTGCGACCAGAAGACTGCACGGAAATATTATTATTTTCTGACGCATGTTGCCGGTTTTCTTCCAAATTAATAATTTTTCAGATGAAATCCCTCAAATTCAAGGCACAATATTTTATTTTCTATAAGATATAGTGTTTTAGTGTAGTTTTTGCACACGTGCAGAAAATCCAAAGAAATAGTATACAGACTGGATCAAAGGTAAATTTAAATATAATCCCTTTTTTTTATCAAGGGTCGATTCTAGTAAAAACTCAAAACATTTTTATATGACATACCTACTCTATTTATGGTTGGTATGATACCTGTTGTTATACCTTTGAGTTTCAATGTTTAAAAAATAAAAAAAAAATAATATTTAAAGTTTTTCTACAACTACTTGTTTTTTTTTTATTAAATTAGTTTTTTTAGTTGTATTGTAGTCATGTACAAGGAGGACAACTGTATTTTAAATATGATATTTAATTTAACGTTTTTCAAACAGGGTTCATTAGACTATATTTCTACTAGGTACATTATTTTGAAAAAAAAATTAAGAAAGTAACTTAAACGTTCATAAAAATAGAAGTAATTACTGTTGTAGATTCTTCGTTAATATTGTAAACATTGAAATAACTGGAAGCTAAACTTTCTACCTGCTTATATTTAGAGCCAGTGTCTGACGATCTTTTTACGATGGCCCTAATATGTTTACTTCTAAAAGTCGATAAGGGCGCCATATCAGTAGAAAAAGAAACAGAATATCTCCCTTTTTTGTCGGTCGCGCGTACACAATGCTTTTTGTTTGTTGTGAATAGCAACTTCGCTTTTTAGTTAACTCGGATATTTTAATATTTCTGAAACAATATTTTCTAATGGGTAAAACGTAAAAAATCGTTAGATTTGACAACTCTGTTGAAACTGGTCGTTCATCTGGCCGCAGCTAAAAACGCAATACATCCGGCCAGCCGACGGCCAGGTCCTTGCGACCTGGTCGTCAGTGAGTTCGAGCCCTTAGAGCATTTCAAAATTTTTAATGGTTTTGCAGATATTCGCGGTTTTATATTTCATTTTTTTATATGATTAAAGTATTTTTGATTTATTTTTTAATATCTCTGAAACTATCGAAATATATTTACTCATATTTTAGGATTATGTAAAGTGATCTGAAAGGAAGCCAAAAATGCAATAATATACAGGGTGTTCCACTTAAAAAAAAATCATCCAGATCTACTCATACTTTTTTGAACCACCCTATAGAAGTTAAAATATTTTCCTGAAATACATCCTGGTATATACTTTAGGTTTGCCCTGAAACAAAATTCCCAAGTTTTTTATTCTAGGAGCTACAGATGCCCGACGCACTATTGCCGGACCCTGTATAAAATGAGATGTAATTAACAAAATAACATTGTAACAACAGATATTTTAAAAACTTCTAGGTTTACATGTTTACGAAATGATGCAAACTTTAACTAGGAGACTGCATGATGAATAATGTGATATAATCATCATTCTTGTTTCATTAGTATGATACAATTAATCTGTTTCAGGGTGGATTTCAAATCCGACGACATTAAAAGGCTGCGATTATAAGTTGAGGGTCATCAGCTTTTTTTATGTGATTATAATAGGTCATGACTCATTTCCAGATATGAGCGCGCCTCATTTAGTATTCTTTTTTACGATTGTTTTATTGTGTAATTATTTAAACGACTTGTAAATATTAGCTTTGGTTATAAAAATATTTTTGAAGTATAGGTATATATTTTAAATATTTTAATTTTGTGTACATAGTCGTGTATAATTACCTGTTATATTTTAGAACGTTTGCATGTATAATGGCATATAATAAAATTTTGTTTAAAAAATTTATTTATTACTATTTTTAATTACTTGAACTTCAATAAAGAAAATGTATGATTTAAAACAATGGAATACTTAATTATATATACTTATGGAACGATTTAAAATAATGGAATGGAATTATAAAACTCTGATAGAAGCGTAAAAAACAAATATGGAAACATTAATTACAAATATATACGAAAACGGAAAGATGTAGAAACAAAATATTACATGGGTATATGTGAAGAGGCAATGTCCACAATTTAAAATTATTTTGAAATATACAGGCTGTTTCAGAACTAAGATCCATACGAAAGTTATATTTTTTCTTATGGAACACACACACACACACACGGTATTTTATTTCATATTTGGATTCTTGGGCCCAAAAAGGCATACACATTATAAGGGTTAAATATGTTTAAAATCTTTACTTTTTGAGATATTTGAAGATATTTAAATATGCATGCTACAATAGAATATACAGGGTGGCGCCTCTCATACGCCGCGAAAGCTCCAATGAGAACGGTAGTTTATATCGAAATGAAGTTTTGGCAGCATATGTAGGTTAACTGACAGCATTTTATAAAAATATATAGAATTATACAGGGTGTCCCCAAAAAAGTTACACATCAAAGTTGTGTTTTTTCTAATGGAACACCCTATATATTAATTGATTTTCGGATTCTAGGAAAAAAATAAAGGTGAGTTTTATTAAAGAAGCATACACCTAAAATCTAAGGATTTTGACATATTTCACATTTTGTGAAAATGAAGTGTAAATTTTAAATTTCGATAACAGCTACCTAAATTTTAGCTGACCTTGTATAGCCTGATATTTAATTACAGTACCCATTGTATGGAGAACCAAATTAAAATTTAACCCGAAAAGTTCTACAGGGTGAGACAAAATTAATATGGAACATTAGTCACTTTTAAAAGCATCCTTTATTTTAAATGGAACACCCAGTATATTTTTTCGGTGTTCAATGGGGAATTTATATATCTTCAAAATATTATTAAGGTTGCCTACCCCTCACACAAAGGTCTTCCTAGATATTTTAATTTTTATGATTTTGTGTCAGTAGATCTTTTATTATTTGAAATAATCTAGGGTGGCTGTGTGATATACCTTTTGTTAATTTAACAAAAAATAAAGATTGTAGAGTAAAATACTTAACGATAATAATAAAAGATACACGTTTAAAACATATTTTAATTATTACAGAATTAAAACTAGATATAAACCTATAATTATGTGACATAAATTAGCTAGATGAAATCAAATGCTCAAGATGCTTCCTTTCCTGTTAACTGCATAAAGTGATTGTCTTTTCAAAAGGATCTTTTCATTTTAAAAGGCATATGTGGAGTTCTACCTCGAAAAGCAGCTAGTAGCTAAAATAATTTCGCTCATGCTGTCGACAATAGTTGGTGGAGTTTTGTAAACACTGTCTTTAACATATCCCCATAAAAAATGTTATTAGTATAGTATTTAGTATATAATATTTAATACTTAATTTATAATATATAATACTATACTAATACAATATGTAATAGAATCATATCAATTCGCTCTGATGTAGGATAAGTTTGCATTTTCGACAAATTTCTGAGAAATTTTTTTATTTTAACTAACTCAAAATGATAACTAGTTGTTAAAGTTGGATTAATTAGAGAGCTATGTTGAAGTAACGCCAGACATAATATCACAGCCACCTAGATTTTATCAAATAATAAAGATCTACTCAGATCAAATTATGTATATGAAAACATCTAGGAAAATCTTTGAGGGGTAGGCAACCCTAATAGTATTTTAAAGAGACATTAATTCTCCATTGAATATCGGAATAATATACTGGGTGTTCCATTTAAAATAAAAGAATAATATGCTTTTAAAGGTGACCAATGTTTAATATTAATTTTGTCGCACTCTGTATAACTTTTTGGATCGGGTTTTAATTTGACTTAAAGTACAATAGTTAATTTAACTACATATTAGGCTATACCGAGTAAATTCCAATTTAGGTAGCTTTTATTGTAATTTAAAAATTGTTCTTTATTTCTAGAAAATGTTAAATATGTCAAAAACCTTACATTTTAGTTATATACTTCTCTTATAAAACTCACCTTTATTTGCCTCCTAGAATCTGAAAATCAATTAATATATAGGGTGTTCCATTACAAAAACACAACTTTGATATGTAACTTTTTTTGGAGACATCCTGTAGAACTCTCGATATTTTAAAAAGTGCTCTGAATTAACCTACATATGCTCACAAAATTTCATTTCAATACAAACTGTCGTTCTCCTTGGAGCCTCCGCGGCGTATGAAAAGCGCCACCCTGTACACACACACTACTTTTCAGGATTAATTCTTGTGCTGAGTTTAAAGGTGGGGAAATAAACTTTACTGAAAAATGATATTGTTTCCTTAAATTTATACAGGAATATTTTGGTGTGTGATGTTTTTCTATTTGAACCAGTGGAGTCCGTAGGCACATATCCCCTGAACCATTTGATTAAAATAAATGGTACGCCACTGCCCTTTTTCAAGAAAATGTTTTTTTCTTGATTGTCCATCCTTTTTAAACAAGATTAATCTCTTGAGTGTTTATTGTACATCGAACAGTTTTCGAGAAAAAAAAAATCAACTAAAATCCCGCCTTGATATTGACTAAAATCCCGCGCTTTTAAGATATGCAATATAGCTGATTTAATTTTTTTTCTCGAAAACCATTGCGACAAGAAAAACGCAAGAGATCAATTTTGTTGAAAAAATATTGGCAATCAAAAAAAAACCGTGGCGTACCGTTTATACCGAGCAAGAAATTATTTTTTTTTAATTTAAATAAACTCCCTGTAGATCAGAAAGGAAGTTTGTAGTACCAAATTATTTGTTAAAAATGCTTTTTCCAAATATGCTTATGAGTCACCCCCGTTCCATTTGAAGAAATTGAGATATGATTAAAATACGATTGCTCATCTTTTAACTGGTCATGACATGAAAAACATTAGACGATCAAATATATTTTTCTAAAGCTCCTTGATTAACAACCACAGCTGTGTTTTTAACACAGCTATGGCTATCTAGACTGAAACTTAAAATACGTTATTTTTTAAGCGAGAATGTTAAAAGTTGACATATGATATGTCGTTCTATTCAGAGAGTGTCATTTTCTATCGAATAAAGTAAAAAAATACCGAGGGAGACATTTAAAAATTAAGTTGTCATTTCCGGTGAAACACGAAGTGACCGAAAACAATTGAATACGTCAATCAAGCCTAATTTATGTCATATACTAACATACCAAATCTGTTTTTTTATCTGGAAAAATAAAATACTTATAGGGGTGAACTTAAAAAAGGAAAAGGACAACGACCACTTAAATAAAACCAAAGAAGTAAACAATACAATTAATTTTAATTTTCAATACTTGAGAACTATATAAATAATACGATATACCACATTTTTTATTCTCGTCTCTTTCTCAGTGTGTTTATAAAATTGTAATCAGTCATTCGACTACCGATTTGGAAAAGCTGAATTGCTGAATTCGCTAAATGGAAACTAGATAGCACGGAAACCGGACAAAACGATATTACATAAAATTATACGATGGAAAATAAATACGACAAAAATCTAATAAAAATAGATACCTAAACTAGTCATTTGATCAATTTAAAATTATACAGTGACCGTCAAAAAGCTTCCAACAAATAGGAAAATATTTTATTACTGTGATATACCAAAAATAAAATTACAGTTTTTCAAAAAGTTTGATGGGTCTGAAAACAAAAAAAAAGTTTGGGCTAACACATATATTTACTCTCAAATATACAGGGTCGTCCGAACTGTATTCCGGAAACTTCAGCAGTATATTCTGCAGATAAAAATAAGGAAAAAGTTTGTATAAATGTATGTCCTAAAATGCTTAGTTTCGGAGATACAGGGTGTAGAACTTTCATTTTTATTTCGATTTTTTCCAAATAAGTTCTGAAGTAACGTCAATATTTAGATGAAAATTGGTGTTTGGTAGTTTTTTGACATGAGAAATTTGATTTTGATGTCAATATGACTCCTAATAGTAGGGAGCGCCACCTACATGTGTTTTAACTGTTTTGAAGAGTAATAACTTTTTGTCCGTACCTGTATAAAACTGCTGAGTGAAAAAATATACAATTCCGTGATTTTTTACGTAAAAAATATATCTTGGTAAAAATCGTTACGAGCAACCCTTCTCGAGATATTTGGAATGGAAATAGTCAATACATGTCATTAGTGACAAAAAATAAACATGTTGAGTAGTTAGTTATTTGACTGAACTAGTAAATTTAGGAACTTTTTATTTTTTAAATTGATAAAAAAGTTTCTGTTGAACTTTTGACACAAAAACATTTCAAATTTATGATTTCAGTCTAATAACTATTTAGTCAACATGTTTAATTTACGTCAATGATGGCAGGTATTGATAATTTCGATTCCAAATATCTCAAGAACCATTACTCGTAGCGATTTTTGCCAAGAGATCTTTTTTACGTAAAAAACTTCGTAAATGTTTATTTTTTTACTCAGTAGTTTTATACAGGTACAGACAAAAAGTTATTACAATTATTAAAACCAGTTAAAAAATATGTAGGTGGCGCCCTCTACAAGTATTAGTCATATTGACATCAGAATCAAATTTTTCATGTCAAAAAACTCCCAGACACCATTTTTCATCCAAATATTGACGTTACTTTAGAAATTATTCGGAAAAAATGAAAATGAAAATGAAACTTCTACACCCTGTATCTCCGAAACTAAGTATTTTAGGACATACATTTATAAGAACTTTTTTACTTATTTTTATCTGCAGAATATGCTGTCGAAGTCTCCGGAATACAGTTCCGACCACCCTGTATAAATCAGTCTTCAGTATCTTGAATTTTATACAAATTTTAGTAAAAAGTATCTTGTTAGTTTTTGTATCATTCATAACTTGTTTTCTACTATCTCTATTAGAAATTTCCTAACCTCAGTTGCCTTAAACCCACCACTATCTCTGTATATCAAATCATTTTGACATGACCTGTGACATATGACATGGCGACAAAAAATTCATTTTAAACATGTAAAAGTGGGGTTAAGTCAGAAGACATAGAAGAGTATCAAAGATAAAAATAGTTCAGAATTTTATTTATCTTTATATGGAGGGCTCAGAAGTTAATCACCGTAAGCCAATCGCCATTGAGATAAGGAGGTTTAAAAAACCGGATTTAAACAAACTTACCGTCATTTTTCTAAATCCTCATTATCTCAATGCGATTGATGAATGACTTACACTGATTGACCTCTGAAACCCTCCATATGTAAATTTTCAGATAAGGATATTTAAAAAATAATACAACAGTTTTTTGAAACATTTTTTAAAATGAACTACATTCATTTTTTAGTTTCGTAGTAATAATTGCGAAAAACTAAAAATTATAATTTTCACGGTATTGACATTCTCTACTTTTTGGAACAAATAGACAATTTAAAAAGATTTAAGCTTGATTTTCGTGCATCCGTTATACGTTGATACGATGGTCCGACGGTGCTCTGATTGGTCATAGCGTTTTCGCGCCACTTTTCATCCATAAATATTTTACTTCAGCCCGTCAACGGACCCGTTCATACGATAACGGACGTTTTGACACTTTTTTGACAAATTTAATAAAAATATAAGTAAAATAGCAAAATCGTTATGGAAACGAAAATATAAAATAACACCAACGTATTTCCGATAAACGGATGCATGAAAATGCAATAAATTTAAAAACTGCGTTATTTTCTAACCAATCAAAGCCTTTAAATTCTACCAATAAAATTAATATCGTATCAACGTATCGTCGGACAACGTATGCATGAAAATCAAGCTTTATGTTTTTTAGGCTATCGGAACAAAGTCAGTATTCAAAAAATTAAAATTTTTAGTTTTTTACAAATGATATTGAAGCAGCAATAAAAGATGACTGCACTTTTATGTTAGATTCACTTTTTTACATAATTCAAGAGACAATTTAATGTATTGTATACAGGGAGGTAGAATTGTAAAAGGAAAAATATTCTGCAGATAAAAATAGGTAAACATGATTTTATGCCCTAAAATTTTGGGAGATACAGGGTGTAGAAGTTTCATTTTTATTTCATTTTTTTTAAATAATTTCTGAACTAACGTCAACATTTGGATGGAAATTGTTCTCTGGGTATTTTTTGCCATGAGAACGGGTCCTCGTAGCGATTTTTATCGAAAGACCTTTTTTATATATATATATATATATATTTCTTCTCTCAGTAGTGTAATATATGTACGGACAAGAAGTTATTACTCCTCAAAACAGTTAAAGCTATGTAGGTGGCGCCCCCTACAAATTGGAATCATTCTAACAACGAATTGTCATGTAAAAAACACCCAGACACCAATTGTCATCCAAGTATCGATGATAGTTTAGAAATTATTTGGAAAAAACTTAAATAAAAGTGAGACTTCCACACCCTGTATCTCCTAAACGAAGCAGTTTAGGACATACATTTATACCAACTGTTTTGCTTATTTTTATCTGCAGAATATGTTGTCGAAGTTTCCCGGTTACAATTCAGATCACCCTGTATAGTTTAATGTATTGTGGACAAAGTATAAATATATTTTAAACAAGTTCTCTTTCATTTTATCATCTAACCTCACTTTTTACCTGTTTAAAAGATATTCCCGTCATAACAGTTGTCATATAACGTCAAAATGATTTGTTTCCTCCTTATAATTTTTTTCCGACGTTGCAATATTTCCTAATTTATTATACACTTTTTGCCGGTCACTCTACAACGAATACTTTATAAAATTCAAGCCGAGGTCCTATTATTTAATAAATATTTTTACGAATCCTATAATCCTCTCTTATTAAAATAGTTTTAGCGAATTTTGTCGTAGTAAATATAATTAAAAAAAATCAAATTACAGCAACAACATTATAGGAATCAGAATTTCTAAAAAAATATATATTGAACGGTTAGTTAGTGACCTGGCAACGGTTTCAGCTCTTTAATTTGTCTAATTAGGTAGGCTTTCTCGTCGTTGAATTGCTCGTCCTCCGCCCTGTCCGTGTGGAATTTCATTAAAAAGTCTACCAGCTTCTCCTGGTTGCGAAGCAGGATGTCCAGAATGGGTTTCGGTTTATTTGGGTTAGCTACAAATACCTGCAAATTATAAAACGGATCTTTAGACTTATGTATTTGAAAAAAAAAAATAATTTCCAACAAAATGTTTTTTTTATTGTTTAAATCATTTTTATTGTTTTAAACCCGATTTTAACTACAAAGTGGGGATTATGTTTAAAAAACAGTATTTTAAACTAAGGGTGCCGTACCGCTGGCTCATGAACGCATTAAACAAGTTGCAATAGAGACATCTCAGACAACTCTTAAGAACCAAATGGTACCACCATATCTCAAACGTATCGGTCCATGAAAAAGCTAGCCCCGAGATCGCTGAAGTCATGATTACAAAAACCCGCTTAAGATAGACTGGTCATGTATGCAGGACACATGAACATTTGCCACATCGTGTAGGACTAGGAGACACACTTGTGAACTGCAATATTGTTGAAGCCTATGCCAAACGATGCGTCCAACCTTTCGTCCAAGTATCGTGTAGGATCGACTTAATCAAGGAGCCTTGGAAAAATAGATTTCTTCGTCTAATGTTTTTCGTGTCTTGTCCTGGCTAGTTAAATGATGCCCAAATCGTATTTTCAATCATATCTCAAGTTTTTCAAATGGAACAGGGGTGGCTCATTAGCATATTTGGAAAAAGCATTTTTTTACAAATAATTTGGTACCACACACTTTGTATTTCGAGTCGAATTGTCATTATGAACAGCATGTTACAATTTCAAATTAGCCATATGCGAAAATGTCAAAAGTTGACATATGATATGTCATTTTATTCAGAGTGTCATTTTCTATTGAATAAAGTAAAAATATACCGGAATTGCCATTTTAAAATCAAAAGTTGTAGTCGTTTCCGGTGAAACAGGAAGTGACCAAAAACAATTGAATACGTCAATCAATCCTAATTTATGTAATATATTAACAGGGTTGGCATGATTTAAATCATGATTCATGATTTAAATCGTGATCATTTAAATCATGATTTAAATCGTGATTTAAATCAAGTGATTTTTTTAATTTTAATCAGGTGATTTAAATCAAAAAATCAACTTTTTTAGAACTTTACAATAAATCGAAAAATAACTGTAAAAGTTATAAAAATGTGTCCTAGAAAACTGTTAAAAATATTTCTATAACATATATACCCTATCTATTCGTTAAATAAAATGTTACACTTGCTATTGTAACGGTTAAATACGTTTAATAAATCGAAAAAAAATTGTAAATGTTATAAAACTATATAAAAAATGATTTGTATAACACATATACCTACTACATATCTATTCATCAATTAAAATGTACCGACTTTTGAAGTAATTTCGTGTGAATCCATTAGACTTCTAACTTCTAAAGGGCAGAGATTTATTTTGAAATTTATGTACAAGTGACAAAAAAATGCTGTTCAAATACATTTCATTCGCAACCTCTAGTGCAGAAAAGGGTTCTTTTGATGTTAGACTATCTTCAAATCTGTGTCAGAACATATCTGTTTTATATTTCTTTATTTTACACTTTGACAATATATAATACTAATTTGATTCTCGACTTAAGACTATTTCTGAACAATAGTGTATTGTGTAAGGAATAAAAATTAAAAATTATACTTTTTTGACGAGGTTGTAGGTTTGACGGACCCGTAAACAGGGAGGCACAAAAGTACATTTTTACTCTGAGTAGAATATACTATATTTTTACAAATTAAACATTCCAAATAATTTTTTGATCAATTTCAAACGTTGCAAATAATATAAAAAGTAATGCCTTGTAAGTAATCGAGTAACAATTTGTACACTCGTTGAAATTGACGCTTAATATCAGTTTAATAATATATTTTTGTACTTTTGTGCTTAGGCGTAAAAGTGCTTTACTTTTATGCCTAGACGTTGAAATGACAGAAATTAATACTCTTGTGGCATTTCAAAAAAAATCCTTTTGATCTGATGCGAGCGACTTTTTTTGCGGATTATATTGGTGACCGATGAGGGAAAATGACACGCGACGTAGAATTGTTAATGTTGTCAGTATTGGGCAGAGTTATGAAGATTTAGCCTTTTAGGATAGGACTTTAATTGGACTTATAAGTCCTAATTATTTGGAAATCCGATTTAAATAATGTTTTCTATTTAAATCAAAGTTTTTTAAGCAAAAATTCCAAACATTTCCATAAAAAATTCGGAATACAAAACTTTCAAATTTTTTATTCGCGAAAAAAACCTCAATATTTGCACTTATTTAAGACTCACCCTGTATATTTTAGTTGTTAGTATTCAATTATCTTCAAAAAAAAAGCGTCAGAGTTGGCTTGGAAATGAAGATCACTGTAATTTATATGCAAAATTATATGGTGAATGCTATTGATCATCATTTCCCAACCAGGTAAAAAAATAGTAAAGTTATTTTATTTAAGAATTTTGTATGAAATAATTTAATAAGTTTATCAATATATTTGCTAATATTTACAATTTACATATATTTAAGTGTACTTTTCTAATAAAAATACACTTTTTCCTTTAGATAGGGTAAATACCCAACATCTGTCAATAAAAATACTGTCTATTAAATCTTACTACTTAATATTAACTGATATTTAATTCCATATAAGTTCAATTTTACTTTTCAAAATGACTGATTACAATGAATATTTCAAATAAGAGATTCATATGCCATTAATAAATTCCCAATAATTTATAAAATATGTTATATGTTTTATGATCGACAGCGATCTTCATTTCATGATGACAGCGATCTTCATTTCTTCATGAATGACAGCGATCTTCATTTCATAGTCATCGCTGACGCCGTTTTTATTCAATCATAGGGTACTTCTAAATATAAAGAAAGTAGTGTTTTATTCTCACCTTAAAAACATGGAAGGCCTCGAACTGTATATTCCTCGATCTCTCTTTTAACATATTCATCATAAGTTTTAAATTTTCAGGATTGGAAATATACCTGGTCATAACCTAGAACGAACACAAACATTATAATTTTTTTAACTTTAGTGCTTACTAACATCTGCCCAGCAATAGAAAATTGCTATTTTGACAGATGACAAATACAATTTCAACTACAAATGACAGAACATACAATTTAATTTTGAATTGACAGACAACCACTGCCATTATCATATTCTCTCATTGGACAGACTATACTTGTAATGTTTTCTTTTGTAATATATCTTATAAAATAATACTTCTAAACTTACACTAAAATTATGTCTATCCAATAATAATTCTCCGAGTAGTTTCAAGCTCTGACGTCTTGTAACATAGTTTTCTGAATTTAATAATCTCTGATAGTAGTTAAAAACTTTGTCATAATTTGCTTCTAGAAATTCGGCACAAAGAATCTTGTGCCTTGTAAGAAGTTCCTGAAAAAAAAACATATTTTTCTATGTTGGCAGTCATATTAATAAAACTGTAAACATTATAAACTAAATAAATTTATTGAAGTGCAAAATCACATGTAGCATTACATAATACAATTGTTTTCATAACACAAAAGGAAGTAATTCAGCGTAGCTAGCTTATTGCTTCAGTTGAAAAAAATGTATATATGATGAGATAAATAAATGACTCAATATTTCTATTATACCGGACTTATCTAAGTACTTTGTAATACTTCAGTAATCCAATAATAAACACAATTGAAACGTACCTAAATATAATGAGATTAGCAATTGTATAAAGATTTTTAAAAACTAAATTTAGCATGACTATTACTACTTAATAAGTTATCAAAATAAAAGTGATAATTTACAATTCCTAATAAACCTCTTGAAAAATAAATTAATATAGTAATAAGGAAAATTGTCACTTACTTTAAAAGTAGAAAATGCATCCGAAGCAATATCAAAAGTTGAAACCTCAACGTACCGAAAAAAATTATAAAAGTCATCAGAATATAACATAATTTTGGCCAGTGCTTCATACCGGGCACATTCCCTTAGCATTGTTCCACAATTTAATGCAATTTCTTGATGTTCATAGCTAAAACACACAGAAACTTTAGTTAGGTAAAGAAATATTTATCTTAATTTAATAACCGAATTAATTAAAATGGTTAGAATGCACGAGTAATTAAAATATTAAGAAAATAAAAAACACTAACCCACTCATAAGCGTAAATAGTATTTCTGGTTTGGTACAAATATACTCAACAGTCGGAGACCTAGTACCAATTTGTCTTCTAAGAATGTTATTGAAAACCTGGGCTACATCTTTTTTGCCTTCAAAATCGATACGGTTCAAGTTCTGTATCAACAATAATAATAAATTACTGTTGTACAGCTCTTGGGCTAATTGGGCAACTATGATATCAGTTTGAGGCTCAGACTCTGATGTTCCATATAACATATTTTTGATTAATACTAAATTCTTTGATACATCCTCTTGTGCTTTCTCAACCTTCTTGTCGCCTTTCTCCAGAGCATTCACTGCCTCTTTAAGAGCTTTAACTACTTCAGCGGGTCCTTTCTGCGACTTTCCAAATAAAGGCATCTTAGTTCTTGTGGTATGAGGTTTTAGTAGTGTATAAGTAGGCAGATCCCCTTTAAAATATGTGTAGTTTCATAAATACGTATTTGGGTTGATAATCAGTACACCGTTTCGTTCATTTCCATGAATGTAGTGTATTTAAATACTGCAGGAAAAATTCTACGTGTTTTTCTGAAAAGTTTAGCAATAATCGCTTCAAAATTATAAATTTTGACAATCGAAATGCCAACACATGATGCATGGGGAGTTTAGTAATTATTTAGTTTCTTTTCATTTTTCTTCAATTTTTTATGTTGGCCATTTACATTTGTCGTTATTTCAATGTCGCCAACTGTACTTAAATCATCTGGAATATAGTTGGTTATTATGCAACTAAAAATACACAAGTACATTTTTTATATTTTCCTTGTTTATGGTATTTTATATTTTACATGACAAAAAAAGCCGAATGTAATGTAATGTAATGAAATTGTATTTGTTAAAATATAAGAAAAATAAATAAAACATACGCGCTCTATATACTTCTCTATTTTTATTATAATAATATATATAATTTTTAATTAAAATATGTATAATAATTGCTATTTGAAAGAAATATCATTAGCACATTATAAGTATTCTGTTTGTTTAGTGCATGAAAGACAGACTGAGATTTATGTGATTATTTTTTAGTGTTAAAACAATCTTTCATGTCTGCAAAAATAAAAATATCAAAATTGACCTTCGCCATATTATCAAGAAAATGATAAAATTTGAGTGCAGAATATTGACTGTGATCTGTGATATTGATTTGTTATAACGGTAAACTTATTAGAGATATTTATAATATTAAATTAAAGTATACAGTGTATGTATAAATAATAAAATTAGAAAATTAAATAATAGACATTTTTGTCTAAAACTAAAGTTTGAATAATAGAATCATTGGATAGTATAAACATGTTATTTTAATCTGTTATTTTTAAATAACAGTTCCAAAATTTAATGTTCAAACCACATATGTGTGCCTTTGATACTAATTTCAAACATTTCCTGTACAAGGTGGCTCAAATTCGATGATAATTGGGATCTCGGTAACCATAAGAGACAAGTTGCGCAATTTTATGACCAATAAAATGTCGTTTTGCAAACTAAAAATATTTGAATACTTCCGAAGATAACCCTGGTTTGCTGATGGATACAGGATGGGCGGCAGAAGAGTGGCGGACATATTGTTGTCATATCTGATCGATTTATTTTTGAATCTGAATCATAAAAAAAATATCTCTTCTATGCTAATTATAATCTATTTTAAATGTTTTTACGAATTGTTTAAATTGGAGGAAATTATAACTTTTAAAAGGAAAAAAAACTGCACGTAGATCGCACTAAAATCTTTAACAAGCGAATATTCTCCGATAACGAGCCCTTAAACCAGTCTCGAGTCATTCATTATTCCATGTTAAAAGCATCCATAATTATCTCGTCTGCTTTCTACCGCCAGGTGCAGTCGCGCAAGGCTCTAAGAACGCTAATGACTTTGATTTTTGGTTGTTGTCGTTCCCCTTTGCCCCTTGGAGCACCTCCTTGGCGTACATCCGGCCCTTTTTACGTGTTTTTGTAGACATTGTGATTTATATGTTTATTTTTTCAGATAGAATTTTTTTTCGTAGGGGTAAAGGTGTACTATTGGTTTAAGTGTGAAGATGTTTATAGAGAGTGATGATATTTTAATGGAGTATTTGGTTTTGACGGAGAGGTTCTAAATTCAAATAACAGGAGGAAAATTATTGCTAAAAAATTAAGCGATAAAAACAATCATGAAACCTATAATTCCAAGCATTGATAGTTTATAACTTATATACGATTATTTTTCTCATATAAAAATGAATGAATAATATGAAAACATTTCTTAGAACTTATGAACGAGAATAATCAAAGATTTTTCTTGATTTAAGTCAGAACAATCTTCGGATTGTCACAGGGTCTAACAGGACACTGTTTCCTCAACGAACACTAACGAACACCTCAGTAGATTGAAGCTGAGAAATAATGGCGAATGCAGATTCTGTGGGGAAAATGGAGAAACACCAGAACACCTCATCACTGAGTACGCCGAGACGACAACAGTTTATGCCATAAATAGAGTCTCAGATATTGGCTTTTGTCAAAGCCCTGAGACTGTAGAAAAGGGAACACACAATAGATATGTAAGGTCGCGGTGATTAACCTCCCTTCTAAACATTCTACATCTACATTCCATGTTCTACATTCTAATTCTATATTCTAATTCTACCTTCTACATTCTACATACTTTAATATATCTTTTGCTATGCTCTCCTGACGAAAGTACGGGCCGTCTGGCTGTCGGTAGACTATACTGCGGTTCACTACTGCGAATCACATCTGTACAGGGTATCCCGTTTTCGTGTGTGTTTATAGGATTTCTCTTTTGTGAGTAGAGATACAATGATGCGATTTTCACATTACTTTACTACTTGTTTATGAAACTAAGCTAGCCTCCTTAGTTCCTGAAATACAGAGCGAATTTGTGATGCGCAGTAGTAGAGGTCGTGTGTAGTTAGTGAACGAACTAGTTCCAACGAACTATTCCGACTTCGGAATGAAAGGAACTAGTTCCCGGTTTCTCAAAGAATTAGTTCCTCAGGACCTATTCCGGGATCGAGACTGTAACCGATATAATAATATGAGACTAGCCCGATGCTATATAGGCAAGACTGGGAAGTGCCAGCCGTATATTATCGGATCTGGACCTAGCAGAACTAGAGGAACTAAATAAAAGACTAGTTTACGTACGGATCAGCCAGCGCGATCGTAGCCCGAAGCTAGGCGGGAACGGAGAGTGTCAGCCGTATGTTACCTGTCCCGGATCGAAAGGATTAAGAGGAACTAGAGGAACTCATTAAAACTAGTTCACGGGAATCTATTCAGTCGCCAGATCCGAGATATAATACAAGGCGACGACGATGGATTCGGCCTTGTCTATTGCCACAGCCGTAGCCGGCGTAATTACCACAGAAAATTGTCGTGGATACCGTTTTTGATTTTTAGTTTGTTCTTTGAATATTTTATGGAAATGTTTCACTTTAGGTACTTAAATTAAGAAATACCTTATAAAACGAAGTAGATATTCTGAATTTTTAGACAAAAACAAAAAGCTTGAAGTGAGGAAAATGCAATTTTTCGTAAAATTTTGAAAAAGATATTTAAACTCGGGAGATACAACAATCCATTCATAAAACGCTCTAAACCTTCATCACACATTGGTTTGCGAAAATCAACGAGTGCGAGAGAGAGTGGACAAAGAAGGGAATAGGGTATCGGCGCAACGGCAACAATGTAGTTGTTTACAAAGATTAGACGGTTGAGGTCAATTTCCAGTGGCGTGCCGATCGACCGGCAGTATTTTAAGGAAATTAAAATAATTGTTTAATAAATTTAAAAGAATAATAATAACACTTACATATTTGTCGCATTGTAAAAAGTCGAGGGAGGATAGTAATAGGAAAAAAATAAGTTGAGGGAGGATAGAATAAATGAAAATAGATTGATATTATAATACAGTCATCAGAAAAGTCTAGCAATAATTTTAGAAAATCATAAATAAAATAAAATGGTGATTGTTTAGTAAACGGTTCTTCCCTTAGTCTTAAAAATTATTTAGTTTTTTTTCTCTTGTTTGCAAAGGAAAATTCATATTGTTTATAAATAATAAAAAGTGCATGTGCAAAGAATTTCGATACAATAAAATATAAAAATACAACAAAATGTAGTAGTCATAAAATTCATGTAATAAGTACATTAATTTAGTATGTCAAAAGATGTCCATTTACATTATAGCAACCAAAATTTAAAACAAAAAAAAAACGTATTAAATTGTAACGGCAACAAAAAAAGTAAGGCCGCAAAATTCCATTTTTGGTACACCCCAATAAAATTTTCACAAAAGGTAGGTAATGATTTGTCAAACCCAAGTAGGTACCTAGATTATATTTATCCAATACCCTTTCTTAAAAGAGAAACAGAAATTGTTATTAAATTATTAGTAATTAGCACGTACCATGTACCTTTTTTCTACAATTAATTTAATTAATAAATATATAATTTAAAAAACATAATAAATATACAATTTAAAAAATAAACCTAAAAATAAATATAATTTAGAAATCTGCTATTTTTTATGTCTAGGTCGGCCTATGATCTACAGAGAAGAGGATATAATAATATACCTAACCCTACTTATTTTTATTTACCGGTGAAAAGTTAAATTTGGATTTAAATGATACACTCTCTTGTACACAATACATGAATGCACCATATTTTCAAATTAATGTCCACAGAAGTCCACAAAATAACGCAAAAATACTATAATACTGCAAATAAAGAATACGGAGCTTGATCGGCGGCATCACAGGCGGCATAGCAACATCGCAACAGGAGAATCTAGGAATTTTCATTCTTCCTCGAAATACGTTGTGTACTACTCCGGCATATTTCTAAAACTGACGTTGCCAAACTGCTTTTTATTATTAAAAGAAACACGATCATGATATTTTTTATTCCATTATAAAATTTAAAATAGTTAAGCAGATAAGCATTAAATGAAAAAATTGACGTTAGCAAATTAATGTACTTGATATAATATAGAAATATAACGAAATTATTTATTACTTAATAATTGGTTGTGGTATTTAATCGAATACTAATACCAATATACAGGTAAATCTGGCAAATGTTTTCGGTGTAGGAGAGATGCGAAAATAAGGATAGAATAATGGCCGATGAAGGAATAAGGTAAACAATTGTATCTCTTGAGTTTAAATATCTTTGGTCCGCACTCTGTTCAGGAGAGCATAACAAAATATATATTAAAGAACCAGCTTTCTTAAAATTCTCTCTCGAAAACGTTGCTAGCTCTTAGACTATAAGTAAAACAGCAATATCGTTATGGAAATGAAAATATAAAATGACACTAATCACAAGCAAATCGTATATCCGATGAACGGATGCATGAAAATGCAATAAATTTAAAAAAAGCGTAATTTTCTAACCAATCCAAAATTTAAATTCTTAGTTGAACTGATAGCTATTCTTAGTTGAACGCCATGTACATTATGTTGTTTCAAATAATGCTTCCAGAAATCTAATAATTATTGTTTTATGCGAAAATATAATTATTACTTTTTTGGTACAATACCGTCTCATGACATTCTGGTGTTTGGAGCCATCTGTAATCATCAAAT